ATTTGCTCAGCATGCAAGTCACGAGACTTGGATGGAGCCAATGGCTATATTGGACTGCTGGGGTATACTAGCTCAAACACCACGAACAAACGTGAGGCACCAGGAGTCTGATCAGGAACAGTTAATTTCACTCATTGAAGCACTGTCTCTTTCTTCTCTAAAAAAATTCAGCCCTAAGTACACGCTCTGAAAAACGCTATCAGTAGGTATGTTTAAGCTTACGGTAAATCTGACCATGGCAGAGAACATATATTTTTAGAACGCTAACTAAAACAATCTCACAAGACATCGAAATGAACAAAAAAGTACTTGGAAAACAACCAATCTTCGAGAACTAAAACCTAAATAAAAATTCCCGTTGAGGACTCTAGGCAAGGTAAAGGACAAACCAAATCATCACTAACCATGGCGATCATCATCCGAGAGTTAAGCCCTACTACAACGGTCAAGGACACATCACTTAAGAGGTAGAAATAATGTGTGGTCTTGCAGCACGTAGCAAACTAAGGCTCAAAAGACTCTCATAAGGATTTCAAGATAATCTAACAGCCCTAAACAATTCCCAAACATTCAATGAAACATTCCTAATTTTAGTAGTTCCCAAGAACTTCTAATTTTAGCAGTTCCCAAACACTTCTAATTTTAGTAGTTTAAATTGGCCAGGAATCCTACGAACGGCAGTGGAAACTTATCATGAAAAGGGATTTTTACTATGCTTTCTCGATCGTAAGATCATGTGCTAATCATCTCTTTGCACAAGCAAGGCATTACGTGAGTTTACATTAGGAATAGGTGAGAGCAGATGAACGACTGTCAATCCCCTGTCAGTTCTAACTGAGTCACTTAAACGAACGTGAGCACCAACCTCATCAACAGTTGAAGAGTTGAACGTTTGTGCGCTTGGAGTTAATGAGTGAAGCCTAACATTTTTCATCAAAGTTGAATTACGTTTAGAAAATTCCTCACACGAAGTTGACGTGAAAATGAAAATAATAAATGCAAAGTTTAAAAAATTGAGAAAAAAAAATTAAAATCCTTGAAGTTAAATTAGGTAAGTGTGACCCGTGTTGATGTTTTTTTTTTTACTACATCCCTTACATGGTTTAAACAAGAGAATATAAACTTCTTATATTCTCATGGTTCAGATGCATGTTTAATGTTAAAAGTGAATGCTTATTGGATGTATGTGTTAATCTAGTTGACAGGGATTTTGCCGCTTGGTTCGCGAAAGCTTTTATACCTTGGTGGGGAGAAGAAGGAAATCGGGGATCCCCGTCAAGCTCTAGTGGCATCAGAGATTCTTGATTTCAAAATTGCCAAGGCCACTTCTGAAGATGATGAGAAAAAAAATTTTAAATGATAATAATAGTGATGACAATACTCATGAAAGTTGATAATTGGATGTGATCTTAACAGATCCTTTTCATGCGGTGGTTATGTCGAGCTTCGTAGAATAAGGAATTTTGATCTTGTTCGTCGAACCCTAAAACGAAAACGACTATGCAAGGTTGGTTCAGTTGATCGGAAGCATTATGATTAAGTGTTTTGTTGTTCGAAAGTCTCGTGAAATTGTTTGGTTTAGTGTTCTAACAACAAATTTTTAATATCTCAAGGTCAGCCAGCTGGCATGCTCCCCCGTATCTATCAATAGTGAATATATAAACATGTTCTTTAGAACTTACTTAGTGAAAAGTAGAGAAAAGAATTTAGACAGCGTGCACAAGTACAGACAGAGTTCTGTAGTTGAAGTGAGTGTTTGGCAGCAGAAGTCATTGAGAAGTATCCAGCGAGAAGCTAAGAGATTAACCAGAGTTACAAAGAGTGAAGTAAAATTGAATGAAAGTAGAATTGTGTCTTGGAGAACCGAGTAATTAAATAAAGCCGAAAAAAGACGATTCGAAAGTCTTTGGTGGTTTTCGCTTAACATGGTGCATTCTGCAGCTAGTTTCCTTAACATTTGATAGCGTAACAAACCTTTAAATTACTCCAACTTGTTTCGCTCGCCCACTAATATTGTATGTTGGCCATATTGGAGTTGATCTGTTAATACGGGGCTTCAGAGGGGAGGATAAATAGTAAATTTTTTTACAAATTGGGGAGGGTCAAACCTGTTTTATTCGAAAGTGGGGGAGGGCCACAGTTTTTTTTGGCAAGGAAAAAATTACTCCATGTCGCTTAGTTGACTTTTATTTGTTAACAAACACGCAAAGTGTATAGAAACCTAAAACTTGTATATACAAGCAAAGCTACCAGTCAAGATTAATCTAAATTATTAACAGGTGTCGAAATAGTAAATCAAAAAACTATCTTCTCCCAACTAACATGACCCGTGACCCCGACCCCATGACCCATAACCCCGACCCGTGCCCGCTTTCGTCCATATTTTGACGGCGGTAATGTTTTCGCGCGGGGTTCTGGTATAAAATCAGTCTCCGGTCACGATTCGTCACTTAAGCTACTCGGGCTTGAACCGACAACTCGATCTACTACATCACTTTGCGAGTCAGTTTCAACCTCGGAAAGTGATGAGGTCACTTGTTGCTGCACATTTCTTAGCGGGGGCTGCCGAGGTTGTTGACACTCCATTGAATCGTACAGCAAGCTGCCAATGTGTGATTTGATCATTGCGACCTTTTCAGATTTCTTCCCTTTGAAGGTGATCTTCTGATGGGAAAAGTACAAGGATAGCTCGTCCACCCTAAAGGACGACAGCTTATCGGAGTTGTACAGTTCAACCCAGTCAATGTCATTGTACTCCTGGTTCAGCCGTTCCATTCGCTCTCTTTCGGTCTCCTCTTTCTTCTTCTCCTTGCGCATTTTTAAATGAACAAGGTGCTCAACATACTCTGCCACAAGTTTTTCGGGGACAATGCATTTATCTGAAAACTTTCTAATAGCCTCACTGTCCTCTCTGACTAGTTCACTTTCCTCAAACAATCGCTTAACCAGAAATTCTTCATCCGCATCGTGACTAAATTTGTGGCCAGATTTAATATCCCGTCCCTTTTAAATCGAACAGCGCATTATCATCTTCAGTTACTTTCGCATTCAGCTCATCGATTTTGACCTTCAGCTTTGAAAGGTCATTAATGTTGTTCTTAATCGTGGTAGCGTCATGGCGTTTTGCGCTAAAATGTTTCCTCCATAAATCTCCCGGCAGCCGCTGGATTATCAGAAGTCACAAAAGTCAACTTGTGATTCATTGTTTCCAAAGCCTCGCGAACTTCCCACTGGCGCTTTCTTTCAGTTAGAAACAGCGGCGAAAGCGTTCCTTGTAGGGACAAGTGGTCCATAAGTACAGGTAGAATTTTGGAAGAATACTATTTGAGAATTCAGTATATTCGCTCTTTGGGTTCGGGAACCACCCCAGGTCTTCATCTTTCCACTTCTCTGGACTTGCACTTTCACTTGTTCCTGCACCCGATGTACCACCAACAGAGTCAGAGGAGTAGGGGGCATCCTATTTAGAATGGCGAGTCGGCAAACAGCCATAATTGCCACAAGTTGCTCCATCTGACCTCATGAAATCCTCGCATTCACCACAAGCACATTTCCCTCTTTCTATTCCTTGTACATCCTTTCCCATTTTCAAGTTTTCACCGTGCAATCACACGCCGCGCAATTAACTGCTTTGTGCGCAGACGCGGCTATGTGAGTAACACCTCAGGTTAGTTATTTTCACTTCCGGTTATTTTTTGTCTTGGAGAAGGTGGGGGGAGGGTCAGATGTTTTTGTGTATGTATTTGTGAAGGGTCATGCATTAATCCATTCTGGAAAGTGGGAAGGCCACGACTTTTTTCGCAAAAATTTTCTAAAACACCCACCCCTCCAATAAAAGCGTACCTTCTCTTAGTGTTAGTACCCAGTAATTGTATCAGAGCCAGCTTTTCAATGTCTACCATGTATATTTATTGTCCATATAGTAAAAATAAAATTACACGTTAGCTCAAAGATATGAAATGTATGTTCTCGTGGCAACAACATTATCTCACTCGATCGCTGCGCTCATCCGTGATACTTCGCGCCATCGTGTAATATCCTGTATGTATCCACTCCGCTACGTAGATGTCTCTTCAGTCTGCCTGGGATCTGGTTTGCGATTTCTGATCTGTCAATGAAGTCTGATGTGAAGTTGAATGAAAAAAAATCGGTGATAAAATGAAACACAGAACAGAATGGATTCTTACTTGCACATCAGAGAAATAATCGCGGAATGTATGTAAGTCGAACCCTTTGCCATACTTAGCTACATTGGGGATTTTAGGCCTAATCCCGTATGAGGTCACGTGGGGTCTTCCCAGACTAGATCAAACCACCTTATGATAGTTACATTAAGTAGTTACCAAAATTCCAATATGGCGGAGGTAACGACAGTTGCGAGGCTATTGAGGGTTTCAAGCCTGAAAGCTTAGAATTGTTGCTCGGATCAGATAAATATTCTAATGGCTAGAGAAAATGTTTGACCAAACTAATTCCTCGGTACTGGAAATCTGGTTTGCTATCGTTAGAGGAGATGTACCATCATCCAAGTAGAGCCGCCAAGACAGGACGAGTGGTTGCTAGGGATGTAAGTTTAGTTTATATCAATCGCAGACATGGCATGCTGAGTGATGATTAAGGAAATATTCCGTAATCCTGAGTTCTGTATGTTTACTACAATATTTCTTGTTCCGCTATTCATAACAGGGTGCAAATTTCGGCTTGCAATACAGTTTGCAAGCTCAAGCAACTCCAGTTATTGAAAGACCTCCTGGGAAGCAGGTGAGTAGAGATATCTCACACATTGGGAAGCTTTACTTCACGCATCTTGTTATTTTATTGTTAAGGTAAATTTGTGCCAATATGGAAACATCTCTTATCATTAAAAAAAATTATAGACACTGCGGTAAAATATCCTTAAAAGATCCAAGTTGTATGATTATTTTATTTCACCTAAAGATCGCTAAAGTATCTCGTCATTGACCTGGTAAGAAAAAACTGTGCCTGTCATTTTATCAAGTGAACAAAAAATTTCATTGTTCAGATTTTTCATAGCCTGTTTTTCTTCATTTATCACTGCATCATATTAATTGTGGTACGGTGATAAGTTGATTACAAATGAAAATAAGATTACCACATGTGATGGTCGTTTCACAATGCCTGAAAATCATAGGCAATCCCAGAGTGGAAGCAAAACCCTCACAGTCGTGAGTCTGGATCTTTAACAAGACCAGCATCAAATACAAGGATTGACAATGGAACAAAGTATCGGCACACCATGTCACCTCCCCAAGATATGGAACGTCCTTCATCTATTTTACGTAAGTAATTCAAATTTCCCCATCAAATTGTACATTAACTATGAGAAAAAATTTACATAATAACAGCATGTCAAATGGCATATTTATTTACTGTTGTTTGAAAGACATATCAAGAGAAGTCTCCAAATTGGGTTGCTTTGGTTGGAGCTCTGGCAGGGTTAGAGGGCCTTCCTCCAGGCATGATCATAAATGGATACTGTCAACCAACTACAGTAGTGATTTGACAATAAGATGATGTTTCCTTGTCAAATTCATGACCTAGATCATCCAGTCTCTTACCAAGATAAAATCCAAGAGAACATGGTGGCTGAATACATTGACTTAAAGAATGCAGTTACATGTGCATAAGCACAGGCCACCCAAAACTAACAGTATATGCTATTATTATTATATATAGGTATTTATAACGGCTATACATGGCCATAATGTTTGCAATATTCTTCTGCAGTTCCTAGGGTACAGCAATTATACTAAAAGGGAGACTCAATACTTGATTGGTATAATTTAGCAAGATTGTATAGCAATACTGGTCCTTACATGAAGATTATTTGTGCTCTGAAAACCAATTTTATTAGTTATGTGGCCCAGCTCCATTTGGATGGTGTTTCCTTTTATACTTATTCATAAATAAACTTTTTTTTCCCAGAGTATTCCCATTCAAGTGTTGATCCAGTGCAAGACACAAAACAGCATTATGCTACAACATCTTTCAGAGAACTTCATAAAGTACAGCGTCAGGTGTTGCAGCCAGCACCAGCCTATGTTGCAGACCATTCAACTGCCACAACAGGAGCAATGGCCATAAGTCAAAGTAAAGTGACCCAGGAAGGTACATATGATGATAGTCTACAAGGACGACAAACATTAAGCGCAGGATCACAGTCTCAATCCAGAAATAAAACACAAGTGTTTTTACCAGGTGAGAATTGTAAATATGCAAACAAAGTATATATTTATTAAAATGTCTGTCTAATTAAAATGCACTTGATAGGTGTCTTACACTATCACCAGAAACTATTTAGCTACTGGGAATGTATTGTATAGTGATGCCCATGTGTGGAAATGAATGCAAGTGATGTAATACACTTGGGACCTAAGAATTTGCATGTATATATAAAGCATGTATTTAATTTATTCTGAGAGTTCTTTTTGGTTAAGAGTTAGTGTTTTATGGTTGTGAATAAATGGTTTTAACTAATAACTGCGGTGTACTACAGTGACCATCACTCTTGAGAGCTTCTCCTAATGAGAATGTGATTTTGTACTAGACAAGAGGTTATTTACCATCAAATTAAGAAAAGGAGGATTTAGGACTCAATGTCAAAGCAAAGTATGGGAACACATTTTACTTTCTCTGTAATACTGATCAAGCTTGCTGAATTAAAAAAGGATGAAGGCCTATTTATTTTTTTGGAGTGTTTATTTAAAATTTTGAAAGTATAAGGAATGTAAAAATTGTATCCACATTGTGACATTTATTATACCAGATTCTTTTCCATTTAGGGGACAGGGTTATATTTGCTGAGTCACCTTCATTTCCTGGTGTACCTATTGTTTACCGCCTTCCTGAGGAAAGGCAGGCAAATCCTGACAGGCTAAACCTTGATAGGTACAGTTTAGTATGTGATCATTAGATTGTGATAAATCAACTTCCCTGGGCACTCACACTTCTTGATCCACACAAGCTATTAGCCTTTGGAAACCCCTTATTACTACAGAAAACTTTTTTAAGTCAGCAAGAATAACTGCGAACTGTGTGTTGGAATGTCTAATAGGGAATGCAGTATTTGCAAGATAGTCTACAATATATAATTTTATTTAAACCTCAAAATAGTATTTCCTGGATTAAAAATATATATGTATTTTTCACAATTTTTCCTGCTAGGAGGAGGTTGACTACTTGCCCAATTCTGGAAGGTGAAGACTACCTGAGACTACTTAACTTTCAACACAATCTAATTAGTAGAGTCTCTCATCTAGAAAACCTTAAGAGACTGATCTTCTTGGATTTCTATGATAATCAGATTGAAGAAATTTCAGGTCTCTCTGCTCTGCGATCACTCAGGGTACTCATGCTGGGCAAAAACAGGTTGGTAAATATAGGAACATGTACAGTCGTGATGATATTACAAAGGGAAACTACTTGAAAGTTGCACCCTTTAGTGGCTACATAAAAAAAAAGTCTGGCACACAGGTCATGAAATCTGGTATATGTACATTTAAAAGGTACCTTTTGAATGGCTGATAATTATATATTTTCAACCACTTTTCTAATAACAGTAAATCAGGTGGTAGTATTTCCAGTAAAAGCTTGTGATAAAGATTTTCTAACTTAGCTTGACAATCATGACAAGTAAATAGCAAATTGCATATTTCCAGTGACCCTTGACTTTTCAATTATTTTAAACAACAGGATAAGGAATATCAGTAATTTGGATTCTCTCACAAAGCTTGATGTTTTGGATCTGCATGGCAACAAAGTAGGTGTAATGCCAGTAATGCATGTATCTAATGGCAACTGTGGAGACTTTTACCATGGAACTTAAAGTGGAGTCATTGAACCACATTGATCATAACAGAATTCTTTTGAAGTTTTTTCTTCCATTAGTATTTATGATTAGAAATTAAGATTGGTAATTCATTTACAGTTGTACTGCACCTAAAGTATTGCAATATTGGTTGAAAACTGTGGAATGAATAAAACATACAAAAAAGCACATAACAACAATGACAACCAAAAAACACAAATGCTGGAAAACCAAAAGGGAGTTTTTGAAATAAGTGAAGTTAAGTCTCCATACAAGTCTGGCAGTGTATAGTTGTGGAACCAAATTCAAGAATATAACACAGTCTGGAGGATTGTATACTGTAGGTTCTAAAGTACACCTTGAAATCTGAAAATTACTTTTCACAACTTTTATGTCATCAAAGAGCTATTTGTAATCCTAAAACCCCGCTTGTTTGCTGTAAATCTGTGAATTACTATTAAAGGGCTACTGCTAAGCCAGTTTGAAGATCAAAGTTAATTAGTGACTCCAGACTGTACACACATTTGAAGTCTTAACTATTGCTCTACTCAATTTATATGCTTACAGAACAAGAACTTCATCAATTTTTTATTTTAAATTTATTTTTCATGAACTTGCAGATAGTAAAGATTGAGAATCTTAGTCATCTGACTGAACTGCGGGTTCTTAACTTGGCTGGAAATGAAATTGTTCATGTGAGTAGTGTTAGTGGAATGAGAGCTCTGGCTGAACTTAACTTGAGGAGGAACAAAATCTGCACTGTGGTGAGCATATTTACACCCACAATTTTTTGTATGGTCTGTTAATGAAGGTTTCACTGTAAATTAAATTCCAATGTTTTTATAGTGTTTTTTTTTCTCCCATGATTTTAAAGAACACATATCTTGGCCTTGATGCATGGCTCCGTCTGATCTTTGATAAATATGATACAAAGGAAAAACAGGTTTTTCTTCTGCTTTTTTAAACACCGAATGAAAATTCATCACTTTGTTTCACTGATTTCTAGGAAGACGTAGATTTGCTGCCAAATCTTCAGAGATTATTTCTCAGTTTTAATTGCATCACAAGGTATGAACACTTGCATCACATGATCACTAGGCAAAATATGAGCATTTTAGGAGGTGGCTGCTTTTGGATCAAACAGTGTAACAATAAAAAAAAACACTCAGTTGTTAAAGCATGACTCAGTTTTTTTTACTCAGTGTAAAATTTCTTGTTGTTCCAGTGGCCTTGTTAATGCATAGCTAGAATGAGTTTTCCTAAGACAAATTGTCCCCATAAAAAGAAGAGTAAAGGTTTCTTTCACGGACATTTGTTTTTTGTTGAGGGAAGTTTACACTTACTGTGTATCTGCTCCTTAGGTTACTTGATTTATACTTTAATTTTATGTATTTTTATATATATTTTAATTGTTACAACCATTTATTATTATAATTATAATTATTATTATTATTATTATTATTCAGCTTTGATGACATTCAGTGTTTGGCAAACTCCACGTCTTTGAATGAGTTATCCCTGGATGGAAATCCCTTTGCAACTCACTCTAACTACAAGCAGAGTGTTCTCAGAAATCTGTCAAGCTTGCGGCAGTTGGACATGAAGAGAATATCAGTAAGAGTTGCGTTTATATCTTGTTGTACAGATACAGTTCTTTGCCATCAATGCCGGTGTACATGTAACTTACAGACAAAACATGAAAGCGATATTCTGGATTAGTATACACGACACACGCCGATTGGTTTTGTTTTAAAGTGATTAGAAAGTACTCTTCAGCTCTTCAACTCCGAGCTGCTGAAGAGACAAAATCGCACGTCGAGAGTTAAGATTTCGACCATTTTGCGGAATATTGGTACAAACAAACTGCGTTTCTGGTTTCTATGCGGTATATACTAAACAGTTAATCACTTCAGTGTCGGTGAAAGTAGAAGATATTTACCTCCACATCCGCAAATAATAGTTAAGTATAAAAAAATATATCATATATGTGTTTAGTAGACTGGTTAGTTGCAGTGAAAGCCAATAACTAATGCTTTTGACCAGTAACATATTCATGATGCTTGGCTGAGAGTAACATACTTGAACTGCGTCGGATGACTCCACTTGCAAGAGGGATGATCCAGAAGGTATAAGAACATACGACGAAATAATTAACAAATGTGGTTTTGTTTCCCTCAGGAAGAGGAAAAGAGAATTGCCTCAGTTATGGCAAGAAAAGAAGAAGAGAAAAAGAAGGAAATCAGTAAATTAGCTGTACTGAAGGCAAGTTACCTGTTAACTACTGGCGTGCAATACATTTTTTATGTTTGTATTTATGCTTGTGTTGTCTCCTTTCAGGAAAAGCGTCGTATTGCTATCAACAATGCACAGCGACAGTGGGAGGTATCTCGCACCAGGGAAATGTAAGTACCGCAGGCTACCCACTGAAAATTTGTATTCTTGAAATGGTACACTGTACGTGTGATCTAACTCTGGGAGAAAGTTCGTCCGATATGCCTTTTTCTCGGGACAAACTGAATGTCGATCAGATTGGTTGGCTTGATATTTCAAGCGTTAAACGCTAGGTGAATAACTAACTCAGACTTCAAATATTTAGTGGTAGGAACGGCCATGATGCAGTCTGTGTGGTGCTATGTTCAACAGCATATTGAGGATAGCATGATTTCATGACTTTCAGGAGAATCTATTTGTATTTCGAAAATCTGGGTTTGAAATAATTAAAAATGGTGATATTTGGAAGTTTTCAGTCAACGAAATACTTTAAGCTTACAATAAAATGGAAACGAAATTACCAGTAACAAGATGACAAGGACTGTTTGACAGGGTTCAGCTTTGTGCAGGTACTTATTGAATTTTAAAGGATAAGCCATGATTATTTTGGATACCATCTCCATAAACACAAAACATGTGATGAACAAAATTCTGTTTTTATTTTAATAATAGTAAGCCAGACTCTTTGCCCTCAAGGGATAACTTAGAAATTTTGCCTCAGACCTCTCACAATGAGCTGCCTGATTCCTCAGAGTAAGTAAAGTTACAGCTTTTGTTAACGCATATGTTTGAGTGGCGCAGAATCGTGATTGCCGCATACTTTATTTTCTTCGGATTGGGTCGTGATCCTGATAACATCTTGAAGGAATCTCATGTATTTGGTGGTGAACACGAACTGCACTTATTTTTTAAGTTTTCATGGCTAATGTTATCACTCAATGCCTTCCTTATAGCCCAGGAGCAGGAAAAAGCATAAGACAAAGTTGGTTGAGTAATGGGAGATCGAAATTTCTGTCCACTCTATCCTTTTTTAAAAGATATGCTACATTGCAACGCTTTCGAGTAATTCATGTATACCATGAAATACCGCACGGGTCACTATAGGCGAGTTTATGGCGGAGAAACGTGAGGCAGTGTTGATCAAGAAAATACCATTGACAAATGTGATATTCAAAGAGAGTTTTTCTGTATTGACACAATAACAAAATATTGTATGCTTTATCCAGGCCCAGAGATGCTGTCCCCTCCCCTCTGAGTATATGCCACTTGGCCGAGCTGGATAGTGACACTTTGTTCTTGTATGGCCCAGGCTCCCTAGACGCGCTGGATCGTCACTGGGGCAGCCAGGCCGTACAAGCTGTCAGTACGATCTCCTTTAAATTCATCGATTTTGACAACATCGTTCCTCAGCTGTACAAGATCAGGGCCCGTTTTCCTTCCCTGGTGGTGAGTACTTCAAGGAAAGATTAAACGGATCCATATAATATTAAATTTGCTAGTGGAATGGTAGACTTCAAAGTTAGGAATCGAAATAGTCCAGAGCTTCTTGAATTGTTGTATTTAACTTTTATATGATGTAGCATAAACAAACTGCCCTCTTTTACACTTAGCAGTGCTTGTAGTTGTCTTCACCAATTTGTTCAGTCGTTGCTTGGCAAATGGTGTAAGTTTCTTTGAAAATACGACCACAGAAGACCGACATTGCTTTGTAGTGGAATCGTGCGGGACATGAGGAAAAGAAAAGCATTAGACAATCAACATCTTTTAGGTGTTTACACTAATCATCGGAGGACTTTGCAAGACATGGAGCAAGATTTGTTACCATCTTTTTGAAATCTTTTGTAATTCGTGGAGATTTGTTCGAAAACGCGTGACGCCTGTTGGAATAAAACCTCTACGAGTGGTTTACCTTTTAGGAGTGCTACACTCTGCAGGAATTTGTAGAACTTTTGTCGTCGTAACAAAATAATGAACGTTTGCACACTACATGATGTGGGAGTATCTCACAAGACAGAGCCAAGTCTCTACCCAACTGGCTATTTCTTACTTTCGTCTTTGCAGGGTCTTATTTTTACAGAAACTAACATTACAAGTCTGCAGCAAATCAATTGTTTATCTTTGTTAAGAAGACTTGAACACATCTCCATCAGTATTGAGGGAAATCCTATAACATCCTTCACTCTGTGGAAACCTTATGTGTTGTTCCGTTTGGCACACTTCTCTCTCAGAAAGATCAATGATATTGAGGTTAGTGGATTCTCGCTTATTCTTTGTGAACCTTTGACCCCTATGAGTGATGTTATGAGTAATTGATGTAAACATAAGCTTCTAGAAATCTCCAGACTGCTGAGTCATGCTGACTTGCATACTGTAGAACTTTCTAGAACATTTCATCAAGTTACGCATTTATTATGTAATATTAATAAAACAGTTTTTATGTAAGCTTCTGGAATGTTTCAGAACACTTTGTGAATATATGTAAAGACTCACTTATGTAGTAGTAGAGTTAGTGGTTGTTGTTGGAGCGATTACTCTTTTGAAAGCTATACCGAGAGAGAGTTACTGCGGAAGATTGCTCATTTTAAGGAACTTTGGAGGCAGCAGTGAGATTGTGTCAGTGGTGAGGATATAGACTTTAGTGGGGTTAATTAAGTTTATTAGCGATGAGTATTGTACTGCTTTTAGAAGTCGCTCCTCGTTGCGAACATTGATCGCTCTTTAATAAAGTAGTTGAGTCTGTGGGATTGTAGTGTTTTTCTGTCGGTTAGATTATACCGTAACAGTTATTGGCAGGTAATTCTCCTTACACTATCAACCCTGAATCACACATTAAGGTTACGAGAATAAAGGAAATGATCACCAAGAAAGAATCTCTCGATTGATAAACAAATTCTCCATGTCAGCACTTAAGGAACGTAGAGAGAAAAATATGGAGAATATGCATTCTGATGTTAGGGTGTAAAGGGTCAATGCTGAAGTGATGATGTAAAATTAGTTTTAATAGAAAGTTTCGGCCAAGCTGAAGGCCGACTCTGATTAACTCTGATTTACTTCGATCGATTCTAATTGATTGACGTCGAACTCAACAGTACACGCTTTATACACACTATATCTTTTGTGGGCCAACTGACCTTGGAAGAATAAACGTCTATCATAACACTAACCCAAACACTTTTCCTAGAATCTCACAAGTGAACAACAACGTACCTAACGCTTAATGTACTTAAAACCAAAATGAGAACTTAAGGTTAGGACACAAACTAAGCATGTCCATTTATGGAAATAAAAGAAGACAGTTAAAATCAGGAATCTTGTCATGATCGTTATAGCTTAAATCCAAATAACTTCGGACTTAGAATTCAAATCCTAACTAACTGTTCGATGTAGACAAACTATTTTAATACTTTACATCAAGTGAATCAATGAAAACCATCAGGTAATACTGTACGATAAGAGCAGTGGTTGATAAGGTTGGGAAAACACACTCCGCTTCAGCAAGTTGAAATTTGATATGATTCTTGATTCGAGCTCGCCTTTGTGGAAAAGAGAAATAAAAGACTGTTTGGAGCCCATTCACTAGTCTGAGGCTTTTGGACACGCGTGTGAACTTTTTCTATGATTCAAGTTCTTTCTGGTGGGTACGATACAAACGAATCGTGACATATGTACTCTTTTGTCTTGTTATCAAATTGGTTTACTCGCTCCTGGCCAGGTGACAGCTGAAGATAATGTTAATGCCGAGAAACTGTTTGGGACCTTGGCTCATATTACTACATCCCAGTTGCCTCAATCCAGGCTTCTTACCATGCTAGGAGATTCAAGGTCAGTTTTTTTAAAATACTCTTTTCAATTCGGTTGCTTTTGAACCTTTGCTGACAGTAAGAATTCCGATTGCATATTTGTTGGCGGTTAATGTTGATATGCGCCCTAATATTTTCCTCAGAGAAAGGAGGGCCTCCCACAGTGAAACGCTCCCTTAATTCTGGCACGGTTTTCTAACAGCTAAGTTACGCTAATGCTATATGAAAAAGTGCTTTTTGGATCATGATATGTTTACAGTTTGCATGGTTTGAGGTGCGATCATGCAATATCCAAGATTTGGACTACCTATTACATATACTTTTACAGCTACATGGCAAAGTGGAAATCTTTATAAAATATAGTATATATTCTCAGAGGAAACCCCCAGATTTCATGAAAAAGCCTGTAGTTTACCTTCAGTTTGCACATCCCTATCTGTCCTTTACTCGGTTATGACCAGTTTTGCTGAAAATTTCACTAGTCACGCTAAATTGTTGTCTCTCTTGCAGCCGCTCTATGGGATGTCCCAAAACCCAGCGCTTTCGGCGGAGCGCGTAGTCAGCCTTTTTTCACCCTCAGAATTTTGACATTGTTCAGAAACGCATCAAGCAGTGCTCAAGTTAGGTTCGATTTCGGGAATATGAGCCCGCGCTCCTTCTCTCGAACCCACTTCTTCTCGGGGAGGAGGGAAGACCGAACACGAGAGATCGGCGGAAATCGAGCCTATGCATAATTCCGCTATTTTCGGCTGTTTGCGTGACAAAAAAATTTGAAGAAAGCTGTTGAAAAAAGTATGAACAAGGTACCAGCACATGACTACCATGGAAAATAATTGTTTTTGAATGCCCTTCACTTAGCTGGTTGTAATCTAGTTTCATGCAACTGGACCCTGACTATTTTTCGGGTTGCATTTTTGGTGTCATACCTGTGTGAATAATTTCATAATTTTCTTTCGTTCCATTTTCGCTCTTCATTCACTATTTATTTAATTTACTTCAGTAATTTGATTATTACAGGCGGAAGCAAGTGCTTGATGCAGATAAAAAGAAAACTGAAGGAAAACACGAACGGTAATTAAAGTTACATCAATAATTTGTGGATGATGAGACTAAGCATCTCAAAACACTACGTTTTATCGTCTTTTTTGTATCACACAGGGCGCCTTCGAACGAATCTGTCAGCCGGGCAGGACTGCAGTACTGGCCAGCTGATTCACAGAAGACTCATAGCCAGGTACATGTAAATACAAATTTTAAGTAAACTTCATATATCGTCGACTATAATTCTAAGAATAAGCGCTTTCCCGCCTAACAAATCAAGCTTCTTTGCAATTGGCACCTCCTCCATTTCTTGTTTTAATGCTGAGTAAGGATATGAGGGATACAAAACAAAAAGATCTGTTCAATCATACGCGTGGGCGCTTATTCGAGGACTTGGTATAGAACTTAAAGTAATAAGCTACATCATACAGGCATTTTTATTTGTTGTTACTCACGGTCTATTTGAGAATAGACGCCTGTACAAAAAACAAAAAAACAAAAAAATGCCGGTACTATTCAGCTTATCATGCATAAAAGAGGTCTTGTACGAAAAATGTTGCAATGCGCCTGATCGGTAGTGGATCACAATAGACGTCACATTGTCGTTATTTATCTTTTGTTGTTTTGAAATAGGTTAGCTTTACGATCTTTATTTTTACTGAAACAGAGTATGGAGTATGAAGATCTTTATACATTTTTCTGGTAGTTGAACTGTAATTGTCAAACCTCTCTTGAGTCAGTCGCCTGAGGGCCTCGTCGACTCCAGCTCTCGTCGAAAGTTCCTTTAAGGGCAGTTCTTGTACATTTATTTGCGCACCTTATATCGTTAAACATGCTTCCTTTGTGGTTACCCTTAACATGTTTTCATCTTGTTTAAACGTACTCGACTAGAAATTCCACTTAATTGAATAAATAGTTCACCCAACGATGAAAGCTGTTTCTTAACACGAGGTGACATTTCTAAATATTTCTTGTTTCGTTTGGTAGGAAGCAGAGGAGAGGCGCTCATTTGCTGTGAATTATATGAAAGAGATAGCCCACACGGCCATACTTACTGACCGAAAGAAAAAGAAACTGAATGAGATATTGCCAGGGTTGTTAAGTAACATGGTTGAAAGAGCTCTCACAGACTTAAATTATTTAGACAACTTTATGAAGAACGGCTTTGAGGAAGTGAAAAGCAAGTGACGTTGAGGAAGAAAAGTGTAAGAAAAGTAATAATCATCACCTTACGAGCCCTGTCTGCGGTACTAACTCTGATATGGCAAAATGAGACTTTGGGAGTCTGCAACGCCCTGGACGTTCACAGCTCTGGGACTGGAGAAAGACAGAGCACAGCGGTGAAGTTTTAAAATTATGTCTAAAGTAACAGTCATTCTAGCAAAATAAAAAGAATATCTGCGATTGGTTATAATATGCGAGCGTCTTTTTTTTTTTTTTTCCTCCACTGGTGCATTTCTTAGCACAACTTGCTATTAGACGTTTTACTCGTTCACTCCACTTATTATTTCAGAACACTTAGCAGATTTATCTGAATGTTTAAATTTGTATATAATATATACTTGGGAGAAAGTTTCTCACGAATTTCCTCAAAGAATAGCGTATGAGAAAATTTTGTTCGTCTAAAAGTACCACTGAGGGACTTTTTATTCACTCTGTATGGTGTCTGGTGAGATATGTGGCAGACTCTCCGAATCCTGTGCCAGGTTTAGAGCATTTTTGGAACCGCGTATGGTGTGAACATTACAACTGACAGTTATTGATGAGTCACAGAATCACACGTGACAGCTTGTTCATCTTGGAAACTTTTCGTTATTTTTTTCAAAGTTTTACGATTGCATTCTGGGTGTTTTTCTCATTCTTAGTCAACCTCGATCCTTTTTGGAATTTATGTACCACGGCAAATTATTACTTTAAGGGTTTTTGTGACAAAAATTCAAGCTTCTTCGATTACAAAACGATAGCGCAAAAAATTGCTCTTTACTTTGTCACAATTCAGACGACTTAATATTTTAATCAAGCAAGTCAATCTAATGAGATTAGCTAAGATTACGAGACCTTTTAAAGATATATCTTCCTGTGTAGGATCTTCAAATATTTTATCGAATTACTAGTAATATGATAACATATTTAGGAGCCAGCTTGTAACCCTGATTAGTTTTACTAACACGTCACCGACCAATATTTTGAGTTTGTCACCTACTTTAATATTGATAACAACGCTAAAAATTCACTTATGATTTCACCCTTGAGGAACTTGTGAAAAATTCTTGCATTATGTTTGTTCTGTGCAAAAGTTAACGCGGTTCATGTATTGCTTCAAGGAGTTGCTGGTCAGCTACTCACATTGTCTTCATAATTTTTCGACACTTTCGTAAGCTATCAAAATAGTAAGGAGACCTTAAGAAGGAAAGAATGAAACATAATTCGTCGAAATTAGATAACTGATGTAGTCAACTATATAACATTAAAGTTCAGAGGATAAAAATGACCAGCAAAAAAATGAAAAAGATGTCAGGAAAATTCCGTTGAAAGGTTATCTAGTCCAAACCAAGCCAGGATGTAGATTAAGAGTACTTATCTTACTTATCATTGCTTATCTATGCCTGAGCTGCTTTCGTGCAATCGAGAACATCGAGAAGATCTTCTGATGTTGATAAGGGTATGTCTCGTCAACCAAATTGATGTAACTCAATAAGCGCATTTCCTATGTGGTTAGGTCATGCTTTTAGTATGTGCTCTGGATTCTTGACCTGCATTCTCTGGATGCAGTTCAAATTCTGTATTTGACAAGCTGGACTCTTGGCTGCAAAAACCAAACCTCTCGAGTTTTGAACCGTATTCAGTGGTTTTAGATATGAGATAATTGTAATCAATTTTGAAGGAAAATTGTGTCTGGTAGTACATGGAATAAAAATTAAGAAACGAAAGCTCGGTATCAATGCACTGCACAGTGTACGCAAACTGACAAACGTGAACAGTACTTTGTGGAAGACAACCTTGTCCTTTAACTGAAGATCCTACAATCCAATAAACGACAGATCAGTCGGAAAAGTTTTCTTAAAATCTTAGATGAGAGAGTTATTTTAACATTTTTATAAAAAAATATCCAGAATGCTATAAAACGATTTGAGAATGGGAAAGTCGGCAAAAAGGGATGAACATATTGTTGCTAGGCTAATTATATTCTTTTTTTTTTGCGGAGAAATAACAGTAAAATTAGAGACAAAATTTAAGATTGTTTTAACGTTTTGAGAAAGTTAGTAAGGAAACTAAAATTGTTTGCAATTCGCTGCTAACTCTATTACTTCAAATAACTTTGAAATAAAGGAGCCCTAAGCAGCTCTCTAGATTCATTCTCTACACATCTCTATATTTTGGAAACACGAGAGTCCCGAGGAAAAAAAAACATTTTATGACAAGAAGAGACTAACCAATCAAAACTAACAGCCAATGGCGTAAAACTGACTAATTGATGTCAAGAACTAGACTCATGATATTCGATTGCTGACAAACATCTCTTGACCTGACTTTGATGATGACTTCCGCTCGCGTTGTCAAAATGTCACTCACCGTCACCGAGAACAATACTTTTAAGGAACATCACTTGTATCATTAGGATCAAGCTGATCTCTAACATGTGACTACACTCTAAATTCACATTTTAAAAAGTGCCCGAATGAGGACAGTTGACCAATATTGCAGCAGCTTCTCCGTTAGTACGTTGCCTGTGCAGTTAGGCCGTCCATCAACCCACACGCACATACCATACACAATCACATCACACTCACTCAGGTTATTTACGGACGTACCTTTATTCCCTGGAATCAGTTTTTCCAATTTTTTCGCTGCCTCATGAAATATCCTTTTTCAGTGTCCTTTTCAGGCTCTTGACGAAAGGAGACGAACAAAAAACAGCACGAGTGTGACTAGTTTGTTACCTTCACTCGCCCCGTCTTTATCACACGTTTCTGTCGCAAAAGGAGTGTTTGGAGAAAGCTAAGATTGCAGAAAGAAGAAGCATAACACATGAAAACGCAACTGGGTGGCTTCGTTAAACCGCACCTGTTTACTCTCAAGGTCTCTCTCCCTACTTCCATCTTTTTTTTCTTGAAATACAGTAGATTATGGCTATTTTCAAAACGAGCTATGATATCGAAAGCAAGCCTGAGGAATCAATTGAAAATGTAAAATGATTGAAGCGATGGTGCCCATTTAATACCCTTAGCATATTTTTGAGATTGAATGCTTCCTTTACAATACTATGGAAGATGATGGCTCTGTTATGGATAATGCTTTCAACAGATATTCTTTTGGTTCGTGAGAGACCTGTTCGAGTATCATCAGCAGTCTATAGCTCTGGTTGAGGAAGGAAAGTTGGAAAAATATTATAGCCTGCGAGTAGGCCATCACATATTGATGTTGTACCCAGGCCCCCCGAGTCCTCCATCTTTCCTCGCCTCACTCACTGTTACGCTTTGCGTCGGGAAGTAGGGAGTTGCTTGTCCTTCAAGTGCCCTAGTCAAACGAAGAAACAAGTCAAGAAAAAAAAATCAAGAGTAGAAAAAGGAGGTTCAACCAAATTGGGTCAAAGAAGAAAGGCCGATTGACAATTGTATACTATGGTATACTACGGTTTGCTTTGCTTGGATCGCAAGAGAATCTCCGAGGTGTCCTGGACAATACACTTACACGTCTTTCGTCAAAGATAATCTTGATCGATAAATCACAGAATATTCATATATGACCAACTAGGCAATACATGTCAATATTTCCTCTCGAGCACCACTGTTGGCTGTTACGACATTCATTCAGTTGAAACGCTGACAAGACTCGGAAACAGGAAATATTTGGTCGTACACACCTTGCTACACCCAAAATCGAGGATCCTGGAAACAGGGACAGATTTTTTGAGAGTAGTTTCATGGCGCGAGACATGATATCAAAGCAGGGCACTTAGAGTGATCATTTATGGTCGGGTTAAAACTCTTATTTTTTCCCGGATTTCCGTCCACATGTGTAAGGTAGAAAAGGAGTGTATCAAGAATTAACAGACAAATTTAGAAGGAGTTTTAAGACGTTGCACGAATACAAGTTTCGGCGCAACAGTCGTAAGGGTTAGATAATCGCCTTTTTTTCTCGTCGTGCTCCCTGGAGCGCCAAAATCCGTCGAAGTCTGCAATTTGTGACAAGGACTGTCAGCCGTGGGATAATATGGGATTGATTTGACCTACGACACGACAATAATGCTAAATACGACGGATTAAAAACAAAAATAATTATATCATCACGAACCTAGCAAATATTCAACTTAGATCGCTAACGTGGTTCAGTAAAAAGCGGAGAGAAATTAAAAAGAGATCTTTGAGGAGTAAAAATAGCTGAACATTTTTCTTTAGCTCCCTACTGACAATCTGGCAAACAAGCTGGGGAACATTGGTTTGTAGAAAGGGGGAATCGTATTACAAAACGTCTTGGGCGGAATCTCCTTGTCACTACCGCAAATGCTAAGAATTTGATTTCCAACGGATCATATCACTGGAAGCAGCTGAAAGCGAGTTTTGTTTGGAGATGAGCAATGGCATTGTTGAACTGTCCTAAAACAAGATCGAAACTCCAAACTTTTTACCGCGTTTCACTTTGATTTTGCGGTGGAATTCAACAGGAAATCGAACTGACGACTCCCGAGACGAAATTTCGTAACTCGGTTTAAATAACGCGGCAGAACACCGTGGACAGTTTCGCATTTGTGCGACAGTGCTGACTTTTCACATAATATGAGGCAGTATTTGAGGATAAGCTCCATTGTATACAGGTAAGGAAGCATTCCTACAAATATCTGGTTTGTTATGATCACTATTAATGCGAACACCAACATCGATCAAGCGTCTCGGTTGTAATCGCTGATGAAAGTGGTGTGAGACTAATTAAGACGAATTCTCTTCTTTGCTTCGTTTCTTTAGATCTCAGACATGTGTTCTTATCTTTGCCGTCGTCTTCAGTTGCGTTATACGCTCAGGACAACAGGAGGTCAGCTTGAATTTTGCATGCGATTGTTGCATATACAGTGTATGATTATTGTCTTTTTAAATTACCAACGTGAAGTACGAGGAGCCATGTTTTGATACGACAAGCGCCTGTAACCCATGTTGAGTCTTTTTGACATGAACGGATGACTGGTTTCGTGACATTTGAAGTGTTCTTCGTCTTAAGTGTTCTGCGTATGATTTTCAAACGTAGTGGATAAGTGCTATGAGAAAGAAAACATGAAAATAATATTTAAAAACCTCTACTTAGGGCAAGGTCGTAAGCCGCTGAGAAGGTAATAAAACATACGCTAGAATTTCTCAAGCTTAAACATTTTTCGCCTCGATGTGGGGAGAACCAGAAATTTATCTCTGTTTGTTTTGCTGTAACCAGAAGATTAAGACGATAGGTGCTTTAAAGCGAAGTTAATAGAGTTAAAAATTTAATGTCATTTGTCATTTCGCCCTGCAACAATGATGGTCTCACTGATGAGGTGGAATGGAGTTTGAGATTTTAGTTTTTCCAACATACACAGAGGCCATATTACAAGACATGAAAATTTTTATTGAATTTTGTTTTTGTCGGATAAATTGACGCACTTTTTTGAAAAAAATTCTATCATTCAAAGTTCATCAGAGGTGGGGGCTGCTAACGTGGCACACTTGTTTATTGAGACTATCAAATGCTTACAAGTACTCAAGTTCGGTTATATCCAATTTGAGCACAATTGTTGCAAATTAGAAATAACCAGAAATCGAAAGTCTTAAATCAGTGAGCAATGTTACAATCTTTCCGAAAATTCCGGTGAAGCGCTGGTTTTTTGTTGTGAGATTACGATAAATTGTATGTTTAACCACACTTGTAAAGAAAGTCAACCGACGATTTTGAAGTGTGCTTTTACGTGTCGAGACACGTGCACTCTGTGTAATTTAAATTAGATGTGCAATAATTTTCAATTGATTTTTTTTACGCCAGTTTGCGCAACATTTCTTGGGAAACTTATGTTTAACGATTCTCTACCTAAGTTATTGCAATCTGAGTTTTAAAGAAAACGTATTTTAAAAATTCCCAGCGTTATAATATTGATACTCTGGTGTATGTGGCATGATCGCAACATATGTCCAACCATATGCTCGTGCCCTCTCCAAAATACATTGCGAGAACTTTGTCTTTTTTCGGCGAGATCTTGGTCGTTATCTAGATCTTTCTTAAATGCTGGCGCCTGTTTCAGTTAATTAACATGATACTTTAGTAGCTTTATCCTTATCAAGAAGCCCTTTCTGTACATTAACCATGAAATGTCTGGATAAGATTGATTTGACGAAAAACGTTTCATAACTTAATTCCCTGAGTAATTAATAACTGCCGCTCACCCACTCAACACAGTTTTTGATAGGCAGCCAAACTTCATAAGTGGATGGTAAATGTTTCTGATGTAGTTTTTATTTTGATACTTGATATGGACTTAATGTCGCATATGGCAGTCTGCTTCATTCTTTTTAAGCTTGGTAGGAGCACGCTATCCTAGGTAATCACAACAAACCCAACAGAGGCTGTCATTTACGGAATTTTAAACAATTCCGCAATTGTCAATTTACTGTCTAGCGGTCACAGACCGCATTGATCGTCGGGCGATCAATTTTATTTTCTTCGCAAGTTGGTAAGTGGAAAACTCAAAATCGTTTGATAGTGGCTTCATGAAACAACATGAGAAAAGCACCGACAACGTTTTCGCTAAATTTATAAAGGAAAGCTAGGGAAATATTTTGTGGAAATGTAGTAGTTTTTTTAAACTAACCCTCCAAGTAAAGGTTCTCTTTAATCAAGAAATAAAACAAATTAGCTCCCTTTGAAGCCAGCCTCCAGCACATATCAGATAGGGTCAACGTTTGAACAATCCATAATAAACATACCATACATTCCCTATGTTTCAATCGGTCATGAATAATTTTAGTTTATAAGTTTAGTTTCATAACAAGCAAACGAATTTTATCAGATTTAATCTGGCCAGCAGATAATCAACTGTCATTCACTGAGATCACTTAGTTAACTTGACAAAAATTTTCGTTAATTTTATTCTTTAGGTGGAGGATCCTCACTCCTTTACTACATTACTTCAAGTTTTGGAAGATGACGATATAAGGGAGAAAAGAGCTGTCGAGCAGGATGGTAAAGCTTAAATACTTTAAATTTCTCTGTCTGCTTACTTTATCTTTAATTTATTACAGCAATACACCGTTTTTTTAATCAGTTTACCGGCGTAATAACCCTCGCATGATGTTGGGAGAAAACGAGAAACCTTTGACTAGTTTGGCTGGTGAACTTTTTTCGTGTTCTCCAATTTTTAAACCGTTAAACCGATAGAAAGTGCATTCTATTGCTGGTGCAATAAACGACAGACGTCCAATCAGGGCGTTCGCAGAAACTGCTGCTTTGGAGCAGTTGATTGTGTAATGCCAAATGGACTTTAAAGCCCGCAATTTTCGAAAACGATTTGAATTCTGTTCGTTCTTTGATTTGACCTCCGTCAAACCCCGAATGTTATTTAAAATAGAAGCTAAATTCGCCTTAGATGTGGAAAATTAACGAGAAATCTTATTGTGATCACCGCATCAGCTGTTGAAAAATTTTTTAAGTTGCCTGATCGACAGAGTATAGTAGAGTAGTAACTGGTTTTTTTCTCTAAAAAAAGGTATATTTAGATTCACTGGTAGAGTGAAAAGATCTTTTTCTAAGAGTGTTAAGTCGGACATTGAAAAAGGATCTATTCAGAAATCATCGAGCCTTAGCTGGTAGAAAAAATATAATGAAAACAAGTAGGTACACTGCATGAATACTGATTTATATCGAATCAGCCTAAAAATATCTTATTTCGACTGAACCATTGAGTTTTCGATCTTGGTGCTGATCAACATGTTCGAAGGGTGAGTGCTGTACTTCGTGGTTTCTCCAAGCAGTTTTAATCTCTATTCATGTGCGAAGACATTTTATAAGAGCTCCACGCACGCATTCTTAAACCGGAACCACAACACTTCGGTTGCGTTAGTCGGATTTCTCCAAAGCCCGTGCCTGTTCCGCTGGACAAGGGTAGTGGAGGCTCCAGGCGACAGATTACCTAATATTCGTGAAAAGCATTTACACCACTTGATATGTCTCTTTAAGATCGTGGAATTTTGAGGAAAAACAGTGACACTCGAATGGGAGGCATTCTTTCATTACGCTCGCACCGCTCATCAAGGACAGCAACTAGATCCCTGGTAGACACAAGAGAGTAATGTCGGATTAAGAATATTTTTACTGGTAGCATCTTATTTTTGATTGTAGATGTTTTGGACGATGGCAGTGGAGTATCACCTAGCGGCAAAGGTAAGGTCATTTTCCTGCTGATACATTCAATGTAAATGTTATATTCCAGCTAGCTAATTTGATTGGACATGAAAATCATCTTAATTTTCCCGGACCCTCTTCAGAGTTGTTTCCAGGTAATTCAATCTGACGTCCATGTGATTATCGAGGCCTAGGTAATGGCTTGTCACGGTGTGCCTTTGTCTTTTTATTCAAGTTCCATCCAGCGTAAATGTACGGATGGTTTATCTTGTGTAATGGTTTGATTTTGCGAAAAACGTCGTTTCTTTCACCTTCCTATTTCTTGGGAAAGGAGGCTTTTGCGAGTCAAATAAAAAGTATTGTAGAAAATGGGAATCTTGCGGCGCATTTTCTTGAGCTACCTGTGTAATTGTATTAGTACTCTACGGCGTTTTAGGGTTAATTGGAGTTCTGGCGACCAGGAAAGATTTCTTCCTTGTCATCCTCTCGATCCTGCATTGTTACTTTTGATCTACAAGTTAAGCGCCTATGTCTCATCGAAAAAAGGAAACAATAAAGTATGCTGACTACATGAAAATCTTATGAAAGGAATGATATTACTCTATCCCTCCAACTTCTAGACCTGTTCTTGTCCTCCTGAAGATGAATTTACCAGGATAGCTACGCTGCAGTCGAAAGTGACAACGTAAACTAAAACGAGACTTTTCACTTTCTATAAAAAGTCATCTAGGATTTCCTAGTCGTCGTTGTTGCTTTTTCTTTGTTTTAGTGAAAACTTGGTTTAACGATTATACTTGTACCACAGCTGTTAAATGGTGAATTTGCAACGGTGTTACATTATTCTCCCTTATTTAGATTTACCTGTGATAGTGGAAAGTGAAGTAAAGAAGTTTGTGTTCAAAAAAGTCAGCAAAGTGTCTGTAGATGTCGGTTCCACCGTGTGGGCTGTAAGAGGAACTGAAATCACCGTGTCTTGTAGAGCAAGCTCCAATTTTGACACTCCTAAGATTTTGTGGTATAGAAACGGGGTTGTGATGACAGACAGATTTCGAGTGAGTGTGGCAGCAATAGACGGTATTTTAAGAATTCGTAGATTGACTCGGTTTAACGAAGACACCTATACATGTAAAGCTTCAAACACTGCAGGAGAAAGGAGAGCCTTATTCACCGCCAAGTTATTCGGTATGTGAAAAGTTTCTTATTTTGGAATTACTTGTAGTGACCATAATTGCCCTGAAGACGAAAGCCTCGTGTCATTCTTGCATGAGGGAAGAGATCAGAATAACTGAAAGTAATTGCAAAGTGTTATGAATATCAGCAGCGTGTTTTACTGTGGGTCTTGAGCATTTACGTGTTATTGGTAAAGATTTTTTTTACAAGAATTCGTGTCGCAATATTTGTATGTCACTAATCTTAAGGCAATGTGTTTTAATAAGCTATGGACTATAAATGTTATCTTTAAACAAGTATTTGACTTTTTAAATCTGCCGTGCGTCTTTTCATTGGACAGTTCCCCTTTAAGAACTCCTCACGAACCTCAAATACCTTAAAAAACATTTTAATAATGACATCGTCCCTTAGAGGGAAAAATTATTTTACCTTCATTTCTTTTAGATCCTTCTTTACCTACGATAATTACAGCCGAAGGTGACGTCTCATTTGGACCTAATGACAAAGAAGCAGAAATCACCATAGGGAGTGACGTCACGGTTTACCAAGGAGCGAGGCTTACTATACGTTGTCCTGCAGATGCAACAGTCCCTGTTGTAGTTTACTGGACAGCACAGGGTCGTTCAGCGGAGATTGGCAAAGCCGTAAAAGTTGGACAGGATCTTGTCATAACAGACATTGACCAGAGATATGCTTTGGAATACGAATGCAATGCCAGATCCAGTAGAGGAAAAGCCCAGGCAACCTCGACTGTTAGCGTTATAGGTACATACATATAATTCCATAACACATGTGACTTCAGTAAACGAGTACCATACATCAAGAATGCGAGTAAGCAATATGGGAGCAAACTTAGGTCTGCTCAGCCACTTAAAATGTTGTTCACTATCTCTTACTTTGAGAGTTTTAACTCCTTTGTTTCTTTCTTGAAGCTTTGAATCCTCCCAAGATTCAAGCAGGAACAAAAGATATACGAGTCATCGACGAGAAAAACAAAGATGTCGAAATATACGTTGGAACGAAATTAACCGTCATCTCTGAGACCCAGGTGACAGTACGTTGTGTTTCAGCAATGGAGCCGTCCCCTGCCATAAGTTGGAAAATTCGTGGAAAAAAGCCTGGTTTGAAGAATGGTGTAACTATTAGTGAAGATAATTCTACTCTTACTATCAGTTATCCTGGAGTTGAGGACTCCGGGGATTATATGTGTACGGCCAGCAATAATGTTGGACAGGATTCCAAGTCTTCGAAGATTAATATTTTACGTAAGTGATCATAAATGAAATATCTCAAAGGCCTCAGTTCTGAGACAAGTTAAGTCTTCTCAAGGGAAGGTATCGACCCTAGAACTTTTCTTGGTTTAACTCTTAACCTTCACTTAGTTTGAGCGAATTGTTGCCTTATTTTTTCTCAGCGAAGATCTACATGACTTCATACACGGATAGTTTGCCCGAGCAAACATAGCCGAGAGGAATGAACCATGTTACATTTATGCAGTTGTTAACATTTGCATCATTATGATCAGTTAGCAGGAATTTCTACGGTAAGAGTTATTTGAACAATAATTTTCATTGGCTTTCACCTGTACAGCTCCCGAACCTCCAACGATACGTTACTCTGACAGGAAAATAACTTCCCTTGGGCCCTCTGAGGTCATTGAAGCCACAATTGGCGACGAACTGATCTTGCTTGCTGGTGCAAGTATACTTATCACATGCCCCACATCTGGACTTCCTACTCCAACCGTACAGTGGAAGAAAGATGACAAAGACCTGGCAGAGTTTGGAAGAACACTGAAGATAAATAACGTCACTAAAATGGACACGGGAACCTTTACTTGTGAGGCGATGAACAGAGCTGGTCGAATCAGTCGAACCAGCAAGTTAACAGTGATTGGTAAGTTAGTTCAAGATGATTTTTCAGTCACTACCGCATCCCGGTGTTGACGGAAGCCTACACTTTGAGGATATTAAAAACGTGTCATTATTTAATGAACTGGTGTTTAGTCTCCTCGACTTGCATCGAGTTTTGTCTTTGCTGTTGACGAACGGCAAAGCCGAAAACATATAAAAGGTCGGGAAACAGAGATTCATACATTTCTTTGTTTTGATTTTTTTGTTAACAGCTTCTGAAAAGCCGCAGATTGAAAAATCGACGGGGCGGGTAACTGGTATAGCTATCGAAGAAGCAGTTGTTAAGATTGGCCAATATCTGCGAGTAGTGGAGGGTTTGATCGTTCGTGTAGTGTGTCAAGTCCGTGGATTCCCTACTCCTGAAGTTTCATGGTTTCTAAACGAGCGGATGCTGAAAACTTCAGGACGATTTCTGATTGACAGTCGTTCTAGCTCTTTGATTGTGAATGGTATACAGGCTCAGGATGCTGGTGAGGTGTCTTGTTTGGCTGAAAACAGCGCAGGAAAAGACACAGCATCCACTTTTGTCAGCATCATAGGTAAGTGCAGGTACATACATTATAGGCTCCGTTGTGAGTTAGTACCTGCGCTCACAGAACCATGAATCAATCTCTTCTTTGGTTTACGAACCGTTGCTTGTCCATCTTGACGAAGTACAACCGAGTGAATTTTAACATTATTTGGTTCATCCCAGTGACTCTGTTTGCCGCTGTAGATCAAACGGCATTCGTGCGAGGTTAATCAAATGATACGATAAGATATCCAAAGACGGTATCCATCGGTTGTGCGAAAACATTACGATCTCTTATGTAAGCTAAACTTGATCCAAAATGGGAAACTATGCTATTTTTTTGTTTAGGTAAAAGCGGTGCTGAAATTCAGTCCGGGAATAATTCTGTGAAGTCCATTGAAGGTCAAGGGGAAGTGAGCATTCAGATCGGTGACAGTTTACAAGTGTTATCAGGCTCAGATGTGTCTATTGACTGCCTGGCAAGTGGAACCCCTTCTCCAGTGATAAACTGGCGCTGGAATGAACGTCAAGTGTCCTCAACAGGACGATTTGTTATTAAAGAGATAGCTGGAGGGTCTCGTCTCATTGCGAGGAAGCTGACATTAGGGAGTGCTGGACAGTATCAATGCACTGCCTTCAACGTCGACGGTTCAGACAGAGTCACATCAACTGTAACTGTAATAGGTGTGTGCGAATTAAATATTTTGACTGAATATCCTAGACCAAACATGTGCGCAGCTCTATTCTTTTACTCAGCGAAAAATTCAAAATGGTGGCGAAAAATGAATACTTACTTCGCTGTCTTGACGCATGCGTTTTCTTTCTACTGAAAACCTTGATTTCAGAGTTCATTTGTTCCTTTTGTTTCCAGTGGATCGGAAAGATAGTCAAGCACTTCGTAAATTGCCATACGTTTTCCCGTAGCTTTAAGGATTTTTCAATATTACCGGTTGAATCCTTAATAAAGTGATAAAGATAAAGAATTGGTTCATGCTCAACGTGCGTATATCGAGTCATGGATGCACACGGGAAGTTTGGAGAGCACGAGGGAAGCATAGGAGTTGTTCGAGGTGCAGCAACTCTAACTCCCTGAGTACACTCCAAACTTCCGAAGTTCTGAAAATTTGTACGTTTTTAAAATCAAAATTTTTTATTGAGCAATAGTTGTAGGAAATATCAACACTTATAAATAATATGAACCGTTTGAAAAAACGAATCGAAAACCTTACGAATTTCTTGCATTTACGTCGGAGACCCGTGTGGTAGATTTACCTTGCTTAAATTGTTGTTTACTAGATTATACGACCGGGAAATTGCGTAGCGTTGTGATGAAAATTCTGAAAATTGTACGATTTCAAAACAAAATCTTCTTATTAACAACACTCCAAAATAATATATAAACCGTTCTAATGAAGAATCCCCAACGTTACAAAGCTTTAGTTGAAGTAAAAAAAAAACTTAGTCTTATTTTCAGCCAGTTGAAAATTTTCTTTTCTTACAGAGGCACTCGTGCCAAAAATTGAAGTCTCCTCCACTTCCGTCAAACAAATCGTCGACTTGAGTCTGGTCTCTGTTATAATTGGAACACGTGTTACTATTCTGCCCGGTGCGCCACTCGTGATCACGTGCCGCGCGTTTGCAATACCTAAGTCCACGATCAGTTGGCTGAGAAAAGGCAAAAAGATCACTTCTTCTGAAAGGTTCTCTATCAACAGCACAACTCTTGTCATTCACCGTACTCAGCGAGACGATAGCGGTTCTTTCACTTGCCTTGCCCAAAACACGATTGGAAAGGATTCAGCTTCTTCGATGCTTGACTTCATTGGTTAGTATTAAACACGCTGTCCAACAACTATATTTACAGATTCCTATTAGAGAAGGATAGCACTTTTGACGATAAAGAGTGTAAGGGTTAAGTTTGGCAGGTATATAGGTTGTGATTGAAAAAGTAGAGTCAATAATACCTAATACATTACGTTTCTATGACTAAAAGTACAGAACATTGTTGCGGTAAATTTAAGTGCATACTCGTGTTTCCTTGGTGTTACTTTTAACTCTGAGAACAATCCTTGCTGCCGTCTTCTGCAAGCAACATAGTTAATCGACTTCTGTCGATGGCAACACAGTCAGGATATTCTTTCATAATGTCAAGAAAACGTTCTTTTAATACATTGTGCCACATGTACGCGAGTAATTTCATGTTTTCTATAGAACCAATAAGCCCGAGAATCACCCAGACTGGGAAAGATTTAAAGATAGAACAATTTGTGAGACTGTCAGAGGCTGTAGGAGGTAATATACTATGTAGAGATGGCATATATTTGGAGTTGACGTGCTCTGTGGAGGGGTTACCTACACCAAAGGTAACTTGGTTGCGTGGGAGTACGAAGATTGGCACAGGTAGAAAGTTAAGCCTTGGAATTCTACAGGAGGAAAGCTCTGGAAATTACACCTGTTTGGCAGCAAATATTGCAGGAGATACGAGAAAAACAACTCGGCTGACTGTCAGATGTAAGTATAATATTGGATATAATTCTCATAGTGACAGAAATCTGTCTGTAAATTTCTTTTACTACCAGCAAATAGTAGTAAAAGATATTTAAATGTAACATTCTACGCATGATATTTGCCCACATGTCAACGTGAATCTCATCTTTCACTGCGACTCGTACTGTTACAAATCAAGTCTTGATATACAGGTTGGCTCATATTTTATCGTTGAGAAATGTTCTTTAAATTTTTATCAGTGGTACAATGAAAGCTTAATATTCCTTTTCATTTCGTGATTCAAGCCCCAGTTCACGCGATTTAGGCAATTGTTAACAAATATTTACCGATCATATTAAAAAAACTTTCCTGAAAAAGATTAAAAGTCTGCATGGAGAGGCAAAAATATATTTTACTTGTAATCTTGCGCTGGTTATATTTCGAGGAAAATATAAGGAACATCTCTGATAGTTTGAAGGTCCGTTGTACAATCGAGCAACTGCGCGTAGACTGAATAATCAGTTAAAATTTTGACTATGTTTCATCTTTGTCAATCTATGGCCAATTGTTCACAAACATCCAGCTCTTTTAACATTTTTGTTCTGTACGTTAAAGGTGATGGGAAAATGTGGGATTGCAATGGGATAATTACTTTCTTTGTGCAAAAAAGACCAATACTCAAAGCGGAAGCGTGAACATCATTATTATGAGTTATAAGTGTCTACTATGTACTGTAATATCTGACTGCGATGCATATAAAGATGTATTGTTGATAATCTGCAACCGTGCCCCAGAGGGCACGGATAGCCCGTTCCTAATTCAATTTTTCAAAACCTGAGCAACCAATAGGGAACGCTAGAATTTAGGTTTTGTTTCCTCGGAATTATCATTATAGATTTTTTTGTACGTAGAGTCAGTGATCACATGGATAACTATGTTCACTCGTTTTAATTAAATTTCTCTCTAGCATCAATTCCACCTGTGATTCAATCAGACGAAAAAGTTTTAAAATCGTTTGAGGAGGGCATGTATCTTACGGTAAACATTGGAACGAGGTTACAAGTTATACAAGGGACTAGAATTGATCTTATCTGTCGTGTTACGGGATTCCCAACTCCTCGAGTAAATTGGGTTAAAGGAAATGTTCGCCTTGAGCAAAGGTTTGAAGGTCAGGGATTATTCATCGTTCCTTATGATGGTACTGTCAGCACACTTCGCATCAGGGGATCACAACCGGCCCAAGAAGATGAGGTCTATGGCTGCACTGCATATAACGCGGGAGGATCTGTCACGGCCTTCTCTTACGTCACATTTTATGGTATGAGACTATATCGAGTCCATTTTACATGGTAATATAACTACCGCATGGCTATAAACAAAACAAAACCCGAGATCACGAAAAGAGATTTAAAACTTCAAATACCCATAAAAGTTTGATTCCTGAGGATGTTGTACATCAGTCACCGTCACCCAAATCATTCTTACACCTGAATGCTCACATAATACGAATGACTCATACTTACAGAATTAAACCGTTTACTTCAAAACAAAGAAATGTGTTTTGGATTCTTTCTAGAAATGCCCTGAATAGTGTTTACAGTGATTGCGTTATACTTGTTTCTATTTTAGAGCGTGTTCCACCTTCTATAAAATCCACCTGGGTTACTGGGTCAGTTGGTATCAAAGTGTCGCTAGAATCCAGGGACCCAATCAAGTTGGTGATCGGAGACAGTTTGCAGGCGTTCACCAAAACTAAGGTATAATATGCTATGGGAAACAAACTCCATTTTTTTAGAACACTAGATGACATATTTGTAATTTTTATTGGACGTCTTTAATTTTGTCATAGGGAACTAGTCTGTTTTGTTCACAGATTTAAAGATAAAGTTGAACTTAACTGAGATCTTAAAACGTGGGAAACTGAGATATCTCGACCAGGAATTCTAATTGTCTTGTCAAAAAAATTCGTTTTCGAGTCCTTTTCTGTTACTTTTGTTTAATGCGGAATAACCTTAGATGAATTAACAGACAGCTGCACAACACTATGTCATTAGATCAAATTAATCCTACCTCCTCGAAACTTTCTCGGAAATAAGCTTCATGATGGAAAACTTTATTGTGATCAGCAGTCCATTGTAGCAGAACGTTTCCAGATTGTTTACACACTTTGCCATGGTTCTAACATTACGATGATTCTGTAGGTGACAATTGAGTGTCCAGTGTTTGCCATACCATTAGCGGATGTGAAGTGGACCAAAGACGGAGGATCTTTGCCTAGTAAACACAAAGTGAATGGTACTAATTTGGTGCTCAGTGAGGACAGTGGTACATCCGATTCGGGACGTTATTTATGTGCTGCTACTAACCCCCTGGGAAGAGACGCCTCTTATTCTGTTATAACTCTTATTGGTGAGTTAACCCTTTATACTCTAACATCAGTATTCATATTATCCACACTATTTTCTCTGCATTTCCTAAGGTGCTGACAAGGAGAATTTGTTTTATGATCAAGAGCTTCTTTAGTTGGTGATCATTTCCTAGACTCTTGTGACCTTAATGTGTGATTCAGGGGGTGATGTTGAAAGGAGAAATTAGATGCTAGTCACTCTGGAGGTGAAGGGTTAATCATCGCTTTCATAAACATAACGGTGGGCTTATTTTACTGATTCTACCATTGAGAATAAATATTCCGATAGCCGTTATACATCCATATTTTAGACAGACTGTTGGGCCTTTTGATTAACCAGTCACTCATTTTCATACCTGATTTATTTTTCTTACCTCCAGAGCCTACTGCACCAAGTATCATAACAAGTGAATTATCTCTAGAACTGATTAATGCAGTGAACTATAGAGCAACAATTGGTACCAATATAACCACTGTGCTTGGCAACAACATCACATTTGTTTGCATTGCGGAAGGCCTTCCTAGCCCCACTGTCACTTGGTGGAAAGGAGACCTCGATTTAAATAGTACTCAGACTTCACTCGTTGTAACTGCTGGTGATACAAATGTAACTGGGGCGTATTCCTGTAAGGCGACTAATCTGGCAGGCTCCATAACAACCAGCTCGGTTGTTGCTGTCCTTGGTTAGTAGCAATTTATAATTTGTGGAGATAAAAGATGTGTAAGGAATACCTCGTTAAATGTAAAGTAGTTTTAACGAACTATTTCATCTAAGAGAAGGCTTAAATGTTTTATTAATCCAGTGACATTTTCTCTCTTAATTAATGTACCAAACTGTGGCAAAAAGACGGTTTGAGCCATAACGTTAACGTTAAATTGTTGCAATGGCCTGACAATCTACCTTCAAAACATTAATGATAACTTTTAGATCGCATCGCACCAGAGAGAGCAACAGTGCCTCGCATCATAACCACGCGAGAAAACCAGGAGGAATTTGGAGATCAGAGAACAGTTGAACACCTTGTTGGAGGTAATGTCACCATTTTAGAGGGAAGGAACCTTTTGCTAAGATGCCCGGCCGAGGGATTACCACAGCCATCCACCTCTTGGCTTTTTAATGGTATTCCTGTTGTAGTCAGTGATACTCTTCAGTTTGATCAGGACACAGGAGATTTGAAAATTATTGAGATGAGTCAAGAAGACGTGGGAGAGTACTCCTGTGTGGCTACCAATATCGCAGGAGAAGCTGTAGAAACGTCCTACGCAACTGTTATTGGTGAGTTAATATATGGTCATCTGGCAGTACGCTTAGAGCTTGATCCACATACAATCTCTCGTGACTCTTAATTTGCAGACGCTTGGATCTAGATCTTATTGATATGTCAAATTGATGAAGTTACTCACATTTTTTGGCTCAGCGTGCGATTGAGAAGCTTTAATCTTTGTCAGAAACGGAATGTGTTGTCGTGGGCTAAATTTCTTTATATTGCGTAAATAATGTCGGGTTAAAGAAGGTGGAATGCGGCCTTTAGAGTTAGCATTTAACATTGGGCAGTGTACATGACATATTTTCGGTCCTGCTATGCACACAGAAAGAGACTTTGTTTTCTTTTTCTTTCATTCAGAGCCAACTTTCCCGAAAATTGACTCGTCGAACATTTCCATAGAGGTGTTTGATCCTACTCGACAGCCAATAACTGTAAAGATTGGAAGTAAAGTAACAACATTGACTGGAACACCCGTCATTATTACTTGTGACGTCTCTGGATTTCCTGACCCCAAGGTTGCTTGGGTTAAAGGGTACAACCCCGTCACGAGCTCAAACACGGAACGCTTGTTTTTAAGTGAAAACAGAATAAGCTTGTTATCATCCGGTGTGTCTGACTCAGGTCTGTACATGTGCACAGCCTCAAGCCCCGGTGGACAAGCAGCTGCAGTCTCCAATATTACATTCGTTGGTAAGCAGGGTTAAAGAAAAATTACAGTCCCTTTTTTAGCGGAAAAGAGAGCGAGTGCAAAATGAAAAATGTGTAAAATGCGGTACACATCAAGTTCTATCAGTGTGTAAGGCACGGAACACCACCGTCAATGAAGTAATTCCGATGCTCTGAAACTGTTGGTATAATTTCGCTATATTTTTTGATCAGTTTATCAAGTACAGCCCTGTTTGACATATTTTTATAAAACAGTAACGAAAAAACGCAATCATTTCTAGAAAAAAGACTAAATTGACTTTTCACTGACTTAAAGCCGTCCAGTAATTTTGGGTTGTTTTGACTCCACTTCTAATAACTTTTCACTATTTTCACCAGAATCCGTGAAGCCAAGAATTCTTTTCGCGACAAGAGAACGGGAACTACTTAATCGTGTCTCACTGAAAGTATTAATTGGAGAAAAGTTAACGGTTCTTGATAAAAGTAATATAACAATAGAGTGTGCTGCCACTGGGGCACCCACGCCAACGCTGTCCTGGAGCAAAGATAACATAAAATTGGAAAATTCGCAATCAAGTCTCCTGCTACTGAGCAATGTTGAACTGAAGGATGCAGGCCGTTACACTTGCACAGCGGAAAACTTCTTAGGCTTTGTAAGCTATTCAACAGTGCTGTCTGTGAGAGGTAAGGGCTTGTTTCCAGACAAGCAACAATTGATAGATAGTTAAGGAAGCTTATTTACAATCCAATATGTTTCGAAGTTAACTTTCTTCGTCCTATTTCAATCAACATAAGTTGAGTTTTCCTTTTAGTTATATGATCTCAGTAGTTTTCGGTCAAAAGGTGACTGAAGACACTTGTTCGATACAAATCGCCCAAATTTTGTGCTCGTAGAGCTCTCAGAGAGCATAGGAACAAATTGTCTTTGTTTACAGAGTGAAAAGGCGTTTCCCATGTAGATTTTAATGAAACAGTGCCTTTTTTGTTGTTATTTCACGTTTTACTAACATCAGTTATAGCTGTTGTACGCAGTGGATCACTAACGGAATAATGTATTCCTGCAGATTTTGAATGGCGCCCTTCTTTAAGACCGACCAACATCTTTCTGAATAATTTTTTTGCAGGGATATTTCACGCTTTATTCGACATTTACGGCCTAGAAATTTAACAGTTAACAGCTCCCCACATATGCAAAAACTTGCCCACGCAATTTTATGAAATCCAAAGTTATGCAAGCTCTCGATAATCATTTTACGTGTTTTTGATCAGGTGGTGAAAAGCCGTCAATCAGGTCGAAGAGTCATGTGGTGCTCGTCGATGACAGGATCACAGCCATAACACTTGACGTTGGTAGTAATCTTACTTTGGTTGCTGGCTCGACTGTCACTGTGTTATGTGAAGTCCAAGGAGAACCTACGCCTGCCATCAAATGGTACCAGAATGGAAATCATATTTCTAGCAATGTGAACAAGACTTCGTTGAGTGTAGGCGACCCTGTTCGAGTCAATCTGCAAACCGTGACATGTACCGGTGACAACATTTTAGGGACAGCGTCAAAGTCGAGTTACTTTACAATACTTGGTGAGTTATCACTTTCCTAATGTGCAGAATCTCTTGAAATGAACTGAGTGCAAATACTCGGAACAAATAAGGTAAATTTCTTGGAAACAATGCCTTGTAGAACTTAAGCAGCAAATCACACTTTCTTTCGGTTTTCCGAGTAATAACCCACCCGGGATGGAAGGAGAATGAGTGGAAAGTTGGTCAATCACGAGCCAAACAAAGTCGAGTAATTTCAGTACAGACTTTTCGACTGTTCTATTAAGATCTCAAGTGAGTTATAAGGTTGGTAAACCGATAGATAATTCGGTCTGCTGCTTTTTTATAACAGCGGAACTTTTATCGATACAATGGACGATAGTTGTTTTTACCGATCAGAATGCGAGTAGTATCTCAATTAATTTTTAAATCGAAAGAAGTTTTAGCTTTTTCCCCAGGCTATGAGTATTTCTTTTAAAACTACTTAATGATTGCATGCTCGGCCAAATCTGCTATTAAAGTAACTTATTTACGTTTCTGATAGACTCAAAGACTTTATAAAATGTTACTTCTTTGAGTTTCGTAACTCAGTTAGTAAACCACGCAACTACTGTCTGGGAGGCACAGGTTTAAATCCCATCCAAGCATGAATTTTTCAAGCTTTGTTATTTCCCTTTTCTGATTGACTCAGAGACTGTTGACAAAATGTTTCTTCTCTGAGCTTCGTAGCTCAGTTGGTAAAAGCGCCCAATTAGTATCTGGGAGGTACAGGTTTTAATCCTATTAAAACATGAATTTTTCAGGCTTCGTTTCTGCAGTTGCTTTAAATGGCGTGGGATTACCGCTCCTTTACTTGGATATAATCCGCGGATCGATATATCATTCATTTTATTTAATTGTGCTTAATACTCAGTCATTAACACAAGACATCAAGTCAAGTATTTAGAGACTCAGAGTTCTTCTCTTGTAAGATTTAAAAACGTTATATGCTACAAAAAAGGATGAACCAAATCACAAATAACACTGGGAATATTATTCGTCGTGCAATTGCTCAGTGTAGAGGTCATCAAGTCAAGTCAAGTCAGTGTAGCGGTCCGTCAAGTGCACATTCAATGTTCAACTATTAATATATGGACTCGTTCTATTGCACAGAGCCTTCCAAGCCGCAAATTATGGTAAACGAGGAGAAGAAAGTTATCGAAGCACAGAACCGAAGTTCCCAAGTACTAATCATCGGCGATGACCTTATAGCCCTTACCAAGACAAACATTACCATTTCTTGTCCAACTAGCGGCGTACCGAGACCAAGTATCACCTGGACAAAAGATGGAAGAATACTGCGTAATGATGGCAGGTATCAGGTTCAAAGGGATGGGTCACTGGTGTTTCATGAGGCTGATGAAAGGGATGGTGCTAGATACACATGTAACGCTGTTGGCGTTGATGGGCAAGACAGTGCATCCAGCATACTGCAAGTTGTTGGTAAGTAAGAACACACTAACTATTTGTAAGCACCTGATAAAGACTATGAGGGTTCTCTTTGATAGAGCCATAAGATATAATTTAAAGAAGTTTTGGTTGTTCATTTTCGTAAAGCACAAAATGATTGTAATTACGTTTGTCACACGATGTGAATTCCTCTGATGTGGATCTCGACGTTTTCATTACATAGTTTTATTTATAGAGTTGTCAACTTACGAAGAATGATCCTCTGAAATTTTACCCACGAGTTGAAAAAGATAAACCGGTTTAAATGGACATTCAGAAATCTCCTTTGCAAAAAAGTCATGATAGTGGGAAAATAGAGGACTAAATCGTACTTCATACATGTTTAAAAACGCGCATGGATTAGAACAAATACCATTGTATCTTACACGTCTGGTAGTGAATAGCGGTGGAAACTTACACAAGCCTCGATTCGCATTGATCGACATAACACACAAATCATGATCAGCCTTTTCGTTTTACAGAGCCGGCAAAACCTCTCATTCAGGTTCCCAAACGTGGACAAGAGCTCCCTATTGATGATGTCAGTTTAATAACTATGAACGTTGGTGATAACGTAACAGCAGCTTTAAACACTACCATCACAATCAGGTGTCCAGTTAGTGGAGTACCAACACCAACTGTTACCTGGCGGAGAGATGGCGTAAATATTATCGGAGATGATTTGATTTCAATCGTGGATGACAACAGTCTGATAATGAAACAACCGATGGTACAAGACAGTGGTAATTACACCTGCACTGCTGAAAGCGAGTTTGGGAAAGATGAAGTATTTTCCAGCGTACGAATAATAGGTTAGTGTTATTTAGTCAATGTAGATCCAGTGCGTAATGGATTGAAATATTGTTAAATAAAATATGTATGGAGATTTTATTTCATCCATGGTATCAATCGTCTCTTGTTATCTTTTCATCAGAGCTTGTCAGACCAAAGATCGACATTGCACATAAGCCACAAATGATAGAAGCTCAAGACCGAGGTCCACTCATTCTGAATATTGGGGATAACGCGACAGCACTCACAAAAACAGCGATCGTCGTTCTGTGTCACGCCAATGGTGTGCCAACACCTACTGTGACATGGACGAAAAATGGACAGAAATTATCTCATGACGAGGGAAGCTCGAAAATAGTTAACAATGATGGTTCCCTACGGATTGTGTACTCAACAGAGTTTGACAGCGGAGAATACAGGTGTACCGCAACAAACATAGTGGGCGAAGAGGCTATGAAGAGCACAGTTCGGATAGTGGGTGAGCTTTTCTTTAACAAACGTAACATCCTTTGTACAGTTATGGCCTAATGGTAGCCTTTGTAGAACGTCGTTTTTTGACTCCTGATTGCAGTGGACATTACATAATGGGGAGTTAAATTTTTTCAGATTTGCGAATGTTCAAAACTTTATTGTTATTCTCACAGAACCAAGAAGACCAGTGATTGATGTACCCAAAACTGGTGAGGACATTCCAGTAGGTGATGGCAGCCCTGTGATGATGAACGTTGGTGATAACGTAACAGCACCTTCAAACACAACCGTCACCATCAGATGCCCAGTTAGTGGAGTACCAACACCAAGTGTTACCTGGAAGAAAAACGGAGTGGAAATTGAAGAAAGGAGGAAGACAAACGTCGCTGCAGATAACTCCCTTGTGTTTCAATCAGCTGAAGTACAAGACAGTGCAAAGTACACATGTACTGCACAGAACAAGTTTGGGAAGGATGTTGTTTCCTCTGTTGTCGGAATAGTCGGTAAGCCCTCATTCTTCCTCTATGCGGTTCGTAACAGATTCTCAAACAAAGCGTGAAGTCTAAAGACAAGAAACAAAAATTCAAAGAACCTATGATTCCATCATTTTCTCTCTAGGCATGGTTAAAAACGACTTCAAACATTTATCATACTTATGTTCCAGAGTTAACGAAAGTAAATGTATTCACTTCCATTTGCTAGGACACTCCAAGCCTGTGATAAGCGTTTCTGTTACTCAAAAGGCCATAGAGGCTCAAGACCGAAGTCCCATTACCTTGACCATCGGTGATAACGCGACAGCTCTTACTGATTCAAGTGTCACTTTACTGTGTCATGTCAGTGGTGTACCAAAGCCAATTGTCACGTGGACTAAATTTGGTCAGACTATAGCTACAGGGGGAAGGTACACAGTTCAAGATAACGGCGAGTTACTGATTGATGGAGCAAGGGAGGAAGATGAGGCTCAGTACAAGTGTACTGCCGTGAACGTTGCTGGCCAGGATAGTGAATCCAGCTACATACGTGTTGTTGGTAAACGAACTTCTACTTCCATTTGGAAAACCATTGATCTTCAAAGTTGCCTTTATCGATACCACAAACCCATATCAAAAGTTAAATAACTTTGTTTTCTTACCTTCGAGCATACCCGCACTGTTTCACTTCCTCAAGTTTGTTTCTTTTATCAACAGAACCGATTAAACCAATTATCGAGGTCCCTGAAACCAGGAACGAATTCCTCTTTTATAGTGCTATCAACTTGTCATTATCGATGAATATGCATATATGTTCTCTGGTTGAATAAGACCTTTAACACCTGTCGTATCACGCGGCATCAGTGAACATTGAAAAAAATTGAGTCCCCTTAAAATTCTTTTATTTGCACAGAACCAAAGAAGCCAAAGATTGAGGTCCCCCAAATTGGACGGGAGATTCCTGTTGGTGATGGCAGTCCGGTGTTCATGAACGTTGGTGATAACGTGACGATAGCTTCAAACACAACCATTACCATCAGGTGTCCTGTTAGTGGAATACCAAAAGCAACTGTTACCTGGCAGAAAGATGGGTCACACGTTGCCGAGGGGGACAGATATTCTATTAAAGATGACAAATCTTTGGTTATCGAAGGAGAGTGGGTTGAAGAAAGGGCCAAATACACTTGTATTGTTCAAAGCAAATTTGGAATGGATGAAACCTCCTCTTATGTCATGATTATAGGTAACTTAAGTTTCCTTCTTCATTTGACCTGGTACCTGATGGGCTTTATTACGAATGAAAATAATTTAACTCTTTTTCTTCTCTCATCCATAACTGCGCCTCTAGCAAGTCAAAATGGGTTGGTTTGTCTACTGAGACTCGCAGGAAAAAATGTGTGAATGAAACTTTCATGAATGAAAATCATCATTGTTGGTGAAAGTAAAATCTGATTTAACAATGCTCTTATCCTTTGACAGAGCTATCAAAACCTGTCATCGCTATCCCTGGTGAGCCAAGGGCAATAGAAGTGAAAGACCAAAGATCCGTAATCATCAACATTGGTTATAACCTGACGGCACTTACCAATACAAGCATTACCATTCAGTGTCACGCTAGTGGTGTACCAAAGCCAAATATCACGTGGGCAAAAGATGGGCAGAAACTTTCCGGCAGTGGTAGGTACACTGTTCAAGACGATGGCTCGTTGCTCATCAATAAATCTGACAAACAAGAGGCCGCCCGATACATATGTACTGCAAATAATGTTGCCGGTGAAGACAGCACAGTAAGCACGGTTCAGATTATTGGTAAGAAAATTAGACAAAGCTTCTATAGATGTATTGTAGCATTATTAAGCGATCACAAGCTATAATTTAATTCTTTTTTTCCAGAAAATCGTTTTCTGTCACTTATGTTAATTCCTTTATTTAATTGTATTTCGAGTAATAAAATGTGTTGTCGTGTTACTAATGCAAACAGAGCCTAAGAAACCAATGATCGCGGTCTCTGGGACTGGTCGGGTGATTCCCGTTGGTGATGGCAGTCCAGTGATAATGGACGTCGGTGATAACGTAACAGCAGTTTCAAACACAACCATCACCATCAGGTGTCCGATTAGTGGAGTACCAACGCCAACTGTAACTTGGCGTAAGGACAACGTGCCGATTGTCGAAGAGGCGTTTTCCATCACGAGCGATTACCGTTTGGTCCTGAATGGTTTAGAAGCAGGGCACATTGCCAAGTATACATGTATCGCACAAAGCGAATTTGGCACGGATGAAACTTCTTCAGTTGTTCAGATACTAGGTAAATGATTACATAGAAAAAGTAAGACGTAGGCAATTTTTTTAACGAGTGGCACACTCTCGGAAAACAAGCGAACAGTTTTCCGTAGTCTCGAAGCACGTTTTCTCGTCCTAGAGCAATCAAGAGTGCTTTGTACTGATCCTTTGCTGTTCAAAGGTTTAGTAAACGAAAAAGTTGTCTCTGTTGCTGATTGATCTTGCTGCTCACTTCACATGTAAGAGATAAGGCACTTAAGCGTTATCTACAGAACTTTTCGCTGATTTAGATGTTTCAAGTATTGGATCATAACTATAATAGTCATTTTTTATGAAATGATTTTCTCGTCCTGTCTATTTTCTGTTACCATATTTGGAAGAAAGTTGCCTTGCAGTTTTTTGCGCCAATAAAAGTAAAATGAAATTGTGAGTATGACAAGTGTAGTTATTTGGCAACTTGCGTAAGTCCAGGTTAATTCCATTCCAGTGCTACCAGAAAGCCGGTACGTGAGAAAAAGTGACGCAATCAGTTTATAGGTGTAATATCTAGTTAATTAAGTATTAATCTCAAAAATCCATGTAGTACGTTTGCTAATCAAAGCACTGAATTGAATGAATTCACACTCTTCCACATCTTTCGTGCAGTTTGGAAAAACAATACACATTTTATTTCGTAGAACGTTCACAGCCTGTCATTAGGATTCCAAGTAAACCAAAGATGGTTGAAGTGAAGGACAGAAGTCCTATCCTTTTGGAGATTGGTAATAACGTGACAGCACTTACCAACACAAGTATTATCATTAAGTGTCATGTAAACGGTGTACCAACACCGACAGTCACTTGGACAAAAGATGGCCTAAGGATCACAAGTAACGAAATCTACATGCTTCTGGCTGATTACTCGTTACGAATTCGTGAGCTTTACGAAATAGGCACTGCCCGATACACCTGCTCTGCAAAAAGTGTAATTGGTAAAGTCAGTGCATCCAGCACGGTTCTCATTGTTGGTAAGTGACTTAAGTAATGATGATAAGTTAAACCAATTAACTTTACATTAAGAACAGCCACCATATTTCAAATAAAATATGAACCATCCACAGAACCATCAAAACCGAAAATTGAAGTCCTTGAAGTCGGCAAAAACATCCCTATTGGTGATGGCAGTCCAGTAACCATGAACGTCGGTGATAACTTGACAGCAGCTTCAAACATTACCATCACTATCAGGTGTCCTGTTAGTGGAGTACCAACACCAGCTGTTATCTGGCTGAAAGAGGGAGCTCCTATTATTGAAGGAAGGGATGTTTCCACCACAGATGACAAATCTCTAGTAATAACAAGAGCGGACTCGGACGACAATGGAAGATACTCTTGCACAGCTGTAAATGTTGCTGGAATGGATAATTCTTCCTCTGATATCACCATAATAGGTGTGTGTTGTAGTTGTGGGCTTGAAGGGGTGAAGTCTTGCCATCACATTGGATTTTCTCAGACCGGTCGTAAGAATTCGCAAGCAAATTTAAAATGTGAACGAAGCTTTCCTTTACATGAATTTTTTTTGTCAGAGCTCGGTATTAGGCCAGCACCTTTTTCCTTTAAGAGTTTAGAAAGCTTGTATCTTTCTATTGGAGTTCTAAGTTCTGTGGAGCAGGTACTTTTTCTCAAAGCAAGCCTTTTCTCTCTCCTTATCCGAAAATTATCTAACTTTTTTGTGCAGGCCCCTCTAAACCAAAAGTAAGGATCCCTGCAAAACCAGTAACGGTGGAACTTCAGGACCAAAAGCCATTTGTTATCAGAATTGGTGATAATGTGACAGCACTTACCAATACTAGCATTACGATTCAGTGTCACGCCAGTGGCGTACCAACACCAACCGTTACGTGGACAAAAGATGGGCAGAAAATCTCCAGTGGAGACATATATACGATTGGAACCGATAACTCAATGCTGATCAAGGATACAAAAGACGTAGGCAGGGCCCGATACACGTGCACCGCAGTTAGTGTAATCGGCGAAGACAGCGCATCAAGTACAGTGCAGGTTGTAGGTGTGTATGGAAGTAATGCATGTATAACAAATGCCAACGAACGATCAGGCGGGAACTTACACCATGTGCCTTGGTGCTTCCCCTCATCGAATTGAAGACTAAAGAGAATGTATAGCTCTTACTGTCGGTTTTTTTCCCGTCAAATGAGGACAGGAATAGCAACCACTAAAGTGTTTTCCTTTTTCTGTTGCCTCCTTTGCTTAATGAAAAACATTACCTTGATTTTTAGGTCTTTCCAAACCAAAAGTCGACGTTCCTGCAAAAACTCAAACCATAGAAGCCCACGACAGAAATCCCATTACTCTTGGCGTTGGTAATAACGTGACAGCGCTTACCAACACAAGAATTACCATCGAGTGTCGCGCTAGTGGTGTTCCAAAACCAACCGTCGTTTGGTCAAATGATAATCAGAAAATGAACAGTGACGATGGAAACAAAATACAACAGGAAGATGGTTCATCATTGATCAGAGTTTTTAAAAAAGGGGAAACTGTCCGGTACACGTGCACTGCAACAAATGTTGCCGGCCAAGACAGTGCATCAAGCACAGTGGAAGTTGTTGGTAAATTGCACAAATGTGTTACATTTACTAGTTTTAATTACATTGCATTAATAGTCGGTCTCTTTGTGCTGCGAACGCGTTCCATTTGTAATACTAAACTTATTCGAAAATCTTTTACCACACAGAACCTGTCAAACCTGTGATTATAGTTCCCGAAACTGGAAAAGTGATTCCTGTCGGTGATGGCAGCCCAGTAACAATAAAAGTTGGTGATAACGTGACAGCAGCTTCATATACAAACATCACCATCAGGTGTCCAATTAGTGGAGTGCCAACACCAAAAGTCAATTGGCTCAAGGATGATGTACCAATTGTCGAAGGAGAGGCTTTCTCCATCACAAGCGATTACCATTTGATCCTGAAGGGTTTAGAAGCTGAGCACATTGCAAAATATACATGTATGGCAAAAAGTGAATTTGGCACAGATGAAATTTCTTCGATTGTTCAGATAATAGGTAAATTATTTCATAGAAAAACTGCCAGCTACTTACTTTTCTTAACGAGAAGCAGACTCTCGCAAAACGAAGGAACGAGATTTCTGAAGTCAAACATGTTTCTCGTCTCAGATCAATTAAGAATGCCATAAACTATTTCTTTTCGAAATGTTTTGAATATTGGATCATAACTAGACTCGTGATATCTGTTATGAACGATGTTCTCGTCCTCTCTCGATTCGAACATCATATTTGGAAGAAATTTGCTATGCCGATTATTACGCAATATTAAGTCAAATTAAATTGTAAATATGACCAGTGTGGTTATTTTGACGACTAGTGTAAGTCACTTCAGTGTTCTTAAAGACCTTGAACGCGAGGGAGAAAGTGACATCTGTTTACTGATCTAATATTTCAGATTGTATATTTAGCCAATTAAGTATTCAGCTTAAACTGCTACACATTTTATTTCGTAGAACGTTCACATCCCGTCATTAGGATTCCGAGTGAACCAAAGATGATTGAAGTGAGGGACAGAAGTCCTATCTTTCTGGAGATTGGTAATAACGTGACAGCACTCACCAACACAACTATTACAATTAAGTGTCGTGCAGAAGGTGTACCAACACCAACGGTCACTTGGACAAAAGATGGTCTGAGGATCACAAGTAGTGAAATCTACACGATTCAGGCTGATGACTCGTTACGAATTCGCGAGCTTTACGAAACAGGCACTGCCCGGTACACATGCACTGCAAAAAGTGTAACTGGTGAAGTCAGCGCATCAAGCACGGTACTACTTGTTGGTGAGCGACCAAGAGCTTTGTAAAACTCACATCACGCACACTAATAAATAAAATCACTATTTATGTTTCTTTTCGTTTTTAAGTAAAAGCAGTAGTTTCGTTGATACTACTTTTCATTAACTTTAAGACAGAACATTCCTTTTTTGCTCTTAAATAAAATGTGAACCTTCCACAGAACCATCAAAACCGATTATTGAAGTCCTCGAAGCCGGGCAAAACATCCCCATTGGTGATGGCAGTCCAGTAACCATGAATGTTGGTGATAACTTGACAGCAGCTTCAAACACTACCATCACTATCAGGTGTCCTGTTAGTGGAGTACCAACACCAGCTGTTACCTGGCTGAAAGAGGGAGCGCCTATTATTGAAGGAAGGGATGTTTTCACTACAGATAACAAATCTCTAGTAATAACAAGAGCGGAGGCGAAAGACATTGGACGATACACTTGTAGAATTGTAAATGTTGCTGGAATGGACAATTCCTCCTCTGAAATCACCATAATAGGTGTGTGTTGTAGTTGTGGGCTTGAAAGGACGAATTATTGCAAACTCGTTCGATTTTCTCAGACTAGTCGTAAGCACGCGCAATCAATTTCTACTTGTCATATTAAATGGGAAGGAAGCTATTTTCTTTTTGAATATTTGATTTTCAGAGCTTAATAATTTAACTGGTACACTTTTTGAGTGGAGTTTATAAGGCTCGTGACTTGGTATCGGAGTTCTAAGTTCTGTGGAGCAGATATAAAAATTCTTTCTCAAAGCGAGTTCTTTTCGCCTTTCCAAACCTTATCTATCTTCTTACACAGGGCCCTCCAAACCAAAAGTAAAGATTCCTGCAAAACCAACAACGGTAGAACTTCAGAACCAAAAGCCAGTTACGATCAGAATTGGTAACAATGTGACAGCACTTACCAACACTAGCATAACAATTCAGTGTCATGCCAGTGGCGTACCAACACCAACCGCTACCTGGACAAAAGATGGGCAGAAAATCTCCAATGGAGACATATATACGATTGGAACCGATAATTCACTGCTGATCAAGAATACTAAAGAAAAAGGCAGGACCCGATACACGTGCACCGCAGTTAGTGTAATCGGTAAAGACAGCGCATCAAGCACAGTGCAGATTGTAGGTGAGATATGGAAATAGTGCATATTGGAAAATGCCAAACTCTTTATCAGATTGGAACTTACACCATTTAGGAGGATTCTTTTACAAAAATATTTTGAGTGCATTAGTGATCAGGACCCATTGTGTGTTTTCTCCTTGTTGGGTTGAAAAAATGGAGAATGGGTAGCTCTTGCTCTTTTTTTTCCCCAAAACCATTAATATGTTGCTCTTTTCTTATTGCCTCCTTCACTCAATGAAAAACATTACCTTAATGTTTAGGTCTTTCCAAACCAAAAGTCGACGTTCCCGCAAAACCACAAACCATAGATGCCCTCGACAGAAATCCCATCACTCTTGGCGTTGGCAATAACGTGACAGCGCTTACCAACACAAGAATTACCATTAAGTGTCGCGCTAGTGGTGTTCCAACACCAACCGTCACTTGGTCAACAGAAAATCGGAAAATCCTAAGTGAAGAAGGAGGATACATAGTACAGGAGGATGCTTCATTGTTGGTCAAAGTAGCTGATAAGGTGGATACTGTTCGTTACACGTGCACCGCAGTCAATTTTGTTGGCCAAGACAGTGCATCAAGCTCGGTGGTGGTTGTTGGTAGGGTTGCAGAAATGTGTGACATTAACTAGTTTTAATTTCATTGCTTAACTACTTAGTCTTCTGTGTCGCAAACGCTTTCCATTTGTTTTTGTGAACTCCGAGTGTACTGCGAACCTGTTGGATCATCTTTTTACCTCACAGAACCGGTCAAGCCTATGATTACAGTTCCCGAAACCGGGCAAGTGATTCCTGTCGGTGATGGCAGTCCAGTGACGATAAAAGTTGGTGATAACGTGACATCAGCTTCAAACACAACCATCACCATCAAGTGTCCAGTTAGTGGAGTACCAACACCAACTATTACGTGGGAGAAGAATGGATTAGAAGTTATCTCGGGAGATAAGCTTTTGATCACACATAATAACAGTCTGGTTATTAAAGAAACAGGAGTAGACGATAGCGCCAAGTACACATGTAGGGTAAAAAGTGAATTTGGAATAGACGAAAGTTCTTCCTCTATCAGAATATTAGGTAAGTCAGTGGGGGAAAAGGGTAGTTTCTTTTTTCTTTGGTAAAATATTTTGTAAATTAATGTTTAAAGTTTTTCAAATACTGCATGTGAGTAAAGTATGTGTTACGTAATGGTGCAATGAACTGTTCATTTTACAGAGCCTATCAAGCCGCAAATTAATATTCGTGGTGACCCAAAATCTGTAGAAGCTAAAGATCGAAATCCCATCACCGTAAACATAGGTGATAATGTGACAGCACTTACCAATACAAGGATCGTTATTCGTTGTGACGCAAGCGGTGTACCAACACCATCCATTACGTGGACAAAAGATGGGCAGACAATTTTTAGCGATCAACAGTACAAAGTTATGGATAATGGCTCATTGCTGATCATAAAGAAGGTCAAAGAAAGCGCTAATCGATACATGTGCACCGCAATCAGCGCATCAGGTCAAGATAGCGCGTCAAGCATGGTGGAGATTTTTGGTAGGTAATGTTCAGAACTGTCCCAGGAAGCCGGTCAGAAAAAAAGTAGCATTTTCGAACTGTACTGATGCTTTTTGTGATGTTTTCGAGAGTACAGAAGCTGGAATTAACGTTTTCACGCAAGCCGACCCTCCCCCCGAAGGATCGCCACCTTGTCGTGGTCGGTGGGCTTGAGTGCCTTGGAGACCCTAGAGCTATGCCGGCGGGAGCTTCGTCTCCTGGTAGGGCCACTCAAAGTCCGACGAAGCGCGATCCACCGGTCCTCCAGGTTAAGGGTGTGGGCACAGGGCTAACAACACTGTCCCGTAAAACACCCATGTTACGGAAACGGCAAAAAAAGAAAACAAAAAAAAAACCACCCTACGTGCCACACGGCATAATGGGCGTGAGTGAGTGAGTGAGCACGCCGACCCGCAAGGGATTAGGCTGCATGTTATTCTTAACCTTTTTCACGGGTAAAAGCATAGGCTCAATCACCGGGTGTTAGAAATTGGGTCAATGCGTCGATCGTCTGAGAATGTTGTACCAAAAAATTTCTGTTTTTTTTCTTTAAATTAACAGTGCCAACCAAGCCGGTGTTCGACGTCCCTGAAATTGGACGTGAGATCCCTATGGGTGATGGCAGCCCTGTAATGATTAACGTTGGTGATAACGTAACAGCGGCTTCAAATACAACCATTACCATCAGGTGTCCAGTTAGTGGAATACCAACACCAACTGTTACGTGGGAGAAGAATGGAGTCTTACTTTTTAGCGAAAAAGAAATTTCAGTGGAGAAGGTAAACTCCCTGGTTATTAGAGGGACAGAAGCAGAAGATAGCGGAAAATACACTTGCCGAGTTTTAAGTGTGGCTGGAATGAATAAGTTGTCTTCTGTGGTAACTATTGTAGGTGGGTGTCGAGCTATCAATTTTGGTCACCAGTAATTTTTATTTATATTTTCTGATGCCTATTTTCTTGTACAAACAGGCATCAGAGGTTAAAGAAATAGCAATTCTTAATCTTCGGCATGATAGAAGAGGAACTAAAATGCGAACAAATTTAACTCGAATGATAATACAGAAGAATAAAACATGTCGTCAAATCTATTTTCTCTTGCTGATGATGTCTGATGGTATCATAAAGGATCAGTCAGTTTGTCCGTTGTTCCAAAATAACTGTGGAAAATCATTGTATCTCTCTTACTGGCTCAATTTTCTTCTAGGTCATTCTAAGCCGAAAATTAAAATTTCTGATGTACCGAAGACAGCAGAATCTCATGATAGAAAACCTCTTACCATAATCATTGGTAATAACGTGACAGCACTCACCGACACGAATATCATCATTCAGTGTAACGCCAGTGGTGCACCAACACCAACAGTCACGTGGACCATAGATAGTCACAGTATTTCAAGTGGAGAGAAGTACAAAATTCAGGATGACGGGTCACTGCTAATCAGTAAAACGTCACAAAAATACATTGCTCGGTATAACTGCATAGCAGAAAGTGTTGCTGGTAAAGACAGTGCGTCAAGTACAGTGCGGATTGTTGGTAAGTATTTGGGTTTCAAGCTTGGGAAAGATTACTATTTCATAAATTGACCATGGTGTACTAATCAGTTCGTAAAACATCAGTTCGGCCGCATCCTTCGAAAAGTCAGCTGTTTATTAAATATCGCAACGTATTGTACTGGTGAGCGAATCTGATAGTTACAATTAGTATTATTGGATACATACAGAACCAACCAAACCAGTAATCAATGTCCCTGATGTCGGACGAGACATTCTAATGGGTGATGGCAGTCTAGTGAAGATGAACGTTGGTGATAACGTGACAGCAGCTTCGAACACTACCATCACAATCAGGTGTCCAGTTAGTGGAGTGCCGAAGCCCTCTGTTACTTGGCAAAGGAATGGTATTCAAATCACTGAAGGAAGCAGGTTTTCGATTGCTTATGACAACACTCTGGTCATTAAAGGAGCGATATCTCAAGACAGCTCAAAGTATACGTGCACCGTTCAGAGTGAGTTCGGAAAAGACAATACCTCCTCTACTGTGCTGATTATAGGTATGTTGTGGCAAATAGTCATGTTCTAAGATTGGATGAAATAAAACGTTTTTTTCGGAAATCTGTAAGTAGCCATCGTCAGTTCTGGTTGTTTTCAAATTTTTTGATTCTTTTAATATCCTACCGTGACATCAAAACACTTCAAGTTTATCCTCTTTAAGATAGGTGGTTAGATTTGGCTCATTTGTAACTTCTGGGCAAATGTTGTGTTCCATCAATGACGAAGTGAGCGTGTTTAGGGAAATGTCTTTAAACTGCGCTAAAGGTGTTGTGTTATCTTACTTTATATCTGGTTGAATATTATCGAATTTCTGCTTTTTAGCACAGTCCAAGCCAACTATAAATATATCTGATGTGTCAGAGACGATAGAAGCTCAAGACTCGAGTCCAGTCACTATAACCATAGGGGATAATGTGACAGCACTTGCCAATACAAATATAACTATTCAATGTCAGGCCAGTGGCGCACCAAAACCGTCAGTCACGTGGTCAAAGGACAATGAGAAACTTTCCAGTGGGGACAGATATACAGTTCAGGTCGATGGCTCGTTGCTTTTAATCATTGGGACTAGGATAGAGGATTCCGCTCGATACACGTGCACTGCAGAAAGTGTTGCTGGCACAGATAGTGCATCAAGCAAGGTGCAGGTTGTTGGTGAGGAGATAACCTTGGTTAAAACACAGTTTTCGTTTATGGTAGCTCGGCCGCATCCTTCGTCATTCTGTACTTTTATAAACTCAGAAAAAGCAAACGAAATGAAGCAAAAATATATTTGAATAAGTTACTAGTAACCAGGCGATTTGACACTGACAGATCACATTTATTTTAAATGGAAAGTGATAAAAATTGAATTGATGTTGATTTGCGGCATCAAGAGAACATAAAGGGGCAGAGAGGAAAGCTCCAGGTCCATGCCTAAGGATATTTTTATTTCTTTTAGTTTATCTATAGACAGTCTCTCGAGCGGAAGTATGTCTTCCGAGGCGTCTGCTATAGAGCTTATATCAATCTAATCTTATATACTGAGTGAAATGTTGTGTGCAACCACATTTATGACCGTTTGAATTAGTCAAACGTTTCACTCACCATCTCAAATATCCAGGTTTTTTGTTACAACGGTGTGACCATAGCAGGGTTACCTTATGACTGTGTTTAAATGGAAAACAAACTGTGGAGCAATGAGTTGCGACGTCTAATTTTTTTTTCAGATCGACCAATAATTAGAAGCCGTTTTTCCTCATGCAAACCTTCATAACATATAACCTAAGGCAAGGGTCATAATTTTGGAAAAGATAGTGGGCTAAGTGTTCTGACACCCTGATTTTCCCTCCTTATATTCTCTTGTAGCTCTAAAAGGTCTAACAGCTGGCAGATTCCCTGACAATCTTCTTCTCCAGCTTATTCACCGGTATCTGATTACGACGCCCTAAAATCAAGGAAGACTCATTTTAATTGTGCTTTGTTGTTTTTTTCTCTAGAGCCAAGAAAACCAATCGTAGAAGTCTCAGGAACCGGGAAAGAAATCCCTGTTGGTGATGGCAGTCCAGTAACTATGAATATCGGTGATAACGTGACAGCAGCTTCAAATACTACCATCACAATCAGATGTCCAGTTAGTGGTGTACCAACACCAGCTGTTACCTGGGAGAAAGAAGGACTTACACTGACATCGGAAGAGAAAATTTTTATCGTCAATGAGAGCTTATTGATCATCAGAGAGTCTAAAGAAGAAAACAGTGGAAGATACATTTGCAAAGTTAAAAACGGCTTCGGCGAAGAGAGCTTATCCTCCATCGTCAGAATTTTGGGTTAGTGTTTATAAGTCATGGCATTTTTTGACAGCTTTCAAAATTATTTTACGTGAGAGATGTAAAAACTAAAGTGATAGGCAAAGTCTTTGACTTTTTGTCATGTAGACCGCTGTTTTCTTTCATCGCCAGCAGTTGAACCCCTTCCCTAAAAAGTGCGACTTGAATGTGGCGTCTATTCTAACACACTGTATCTTCGGTGAAGATGGCGCCTTAAATGAAAGAAAAAAATTAAAAAATGCTTTTCTCTTCTTTCTCATTAAATGAACGTAACAGAAACAATACAGGACCAAAAATTGTTTCATTGATTACAATGCCAATAAGTAGCATGAGCGTTCAATAGTGGTTTTGTGACTGTCCTGTGTGTGCGCCTTCTCTTAAATTGCTTCCATAGGACCCTCTCAGCCCAAAATAAGGACTCCTACGACGCCCAAGACGATAGAAACTCAAGACCGAAAACCTATTACCATAGTCATTGGTGATAATGTGACAGCACTTACCAATACGAACATTACCATTCAGTGTCATGCCAGTGGCGTTCCAGCACCAACTGTCACGTGGAGCAAAGATGGTAAAGTTGTAAACAGTAAAGGTAGTTACACAGTTAAGGATGATGGCTTATTGGTGATCAATGGAGCTGCCCACGAGGACTCCACTCGATATACGTGTACTGTCGATAATGCTGCTGGTACAGACAGCGCGTCAAGCACGGTGCGGATTGTAGGTAAAATATCAAGTATGGTTTTTTTAGCTTACGTTGTGTTGAGAGGACATTATTATTAAATCAACCTTGTTCTTTTTGTAATGATAACTTGCTTGAGGTTAATTCCTTATTTGTCTTTTTACGCCCCGTGTACTTGCAATCGTCGAGTCTGTCTTCAAAATGTTTTGCTCAAATATTCGGCCGATGAGTGACAGTGATAAGAACACGAGGTAACCTTTATCATTGTAAGTCAGCGAACCAAAGCAGTTTGTCGGGTCGCATCTAAGTTTTTACTTTGATTCCCAATTGCTTTGTTTACGGTGCATGTTACCATCTTATTATGCAGGTCCTATAAAGCCTGGGATTGAAATCAACAAGACTTCTCAGGAGATTCCTGTTGGTGATGGCACTCCAGTGATTATAAAAGTTGGTGATAACGTGACAGTAGCTTCAAACACAACCATCACCATCAGGTGTCCGGTTAGAGGAGTACCGCCACCAACTGTTACCTGGGAGAAAGATGGAGTACTGATTTTAGAAGGTGGCAGATTTGCATTTATGCCCTTTAACAACTCGTTGGTTATCAGAAGAGCGACCAAGGCTGATATCGCCACGTACACTTGTCGTGTCCAAAATTTCTTTGGAACGCATAAGTTATCTTCTACAGTGAATATAATTGGTAATGAATGCTGCCTACTTTGTGCCATTATTGAGTAGTCGCTTAATGTATTATTAATTGATCCAACATTTTACACTTGGGGTTTCTCTCTAAGAGCGATACGAAGTTTACTGGGTTTAAAGTCTACATCTGCGAAACGGGATGACCTAATGCTTAGCGCGTTGGAATCCAAGTCGAGATGTTAATTGTCGGGCCCTGATCAGGTCTCTGCGTTAAGTTCACGAACAAGACATATTCTCGCAGTTCCTCTCTCTTTCCAGCTAACTGCTTCAGAAACTTTACGAAATGCCTAGAGTAACCTGCGATAGATGTATATCCCATGCAGAGGAGAACGGCTTGTGCGAGCCACCTGACTTCACTTGTCAACCATTAAATGACATAGTTTTGCTTTATAAAAATTTGGGTTTTGCATAATTTAAAGATGCCTTAATTTGTTATATTTATCAATTTTTTATAAATTTTATTCAAAGGTGATTGAATAACGATGTATGTTTCTATTTCAGATCCAGTGAGCCCTCAGATAATATATTCTTTAGGAGATGTAGCTTGGTTCAGTGAAAAACCTGTCAACATTACCATTGGACAACATCTGGTCACGTTAGTCGATACTGTGTTATCCATTCATTGTGCCGCAAAAGGCATTCCTATACCAAAGGTTACCTGGGCCAGAGGAAATCAGTCCCTTCCTTCTGACGGCCGAATGAATGTTAAAAACGGCACTCTTCTCATCGTAAAACTAGAAACTTCTGACAGCGGAAAGTATACGTGCTCAGCACAAAATTCTGCAGGAATCGCATCAGAATCCTCAATCGTGACAGTTGCAGGTGAGGCCAAAATTCTTGCGAAGGGACTCGTTCACACCCAAAGGCAGAAGAAGGATGCTGGTCTCTCGAGGACTCACTTATTTTAGAGCGAATCAAACATTGATTCAAATAATACCTCTCAGATCCATTGTTACAAGCTGCTCTTTATAGTCTATTTTCAAAGGCTGTGAAGGGCTTTGTTTCCCCACCTAAAATCGTGAGCGTCAGTTACAGGAAAATAAGCCGATATTTCCAATATTTTCGCTCAGCTGGGCCGAAGTGCTAAATGTCCAGGAAAATTGAGGTTGGTGCCTTTACTTCTTCACCATCGAATTTTTAAAATTTTTTGTTGTCTTCTTTGTTGTTTTTAGTGCCTACACCGCCAGAAATCACTCAAACAGGAATTAAAGATCTTCAGGTCCTTGAGCCTAAATCCGAAAAGGCAGTTGTTGGAAGCACAGTTCTTACAATTAGTGGTAACAATTTGTCATTGACTTGCGACGTGACGGGCTTTCCACCTCCTTCCATTGAATGGGCAAAAGATGGTGCCGTACTGGGAGCAGATGGATCGGTCTTACGCCTTTTATCTGTTGACGTTGACGACACTAGTGTTTATACATGCACAGCTACAAGTCCCCTAGGACAGGTAGACTCACAGAGTACGAACTTAACGGTTATAGGTAGGTATTTATCCACTCCACAATGTAACTATGGAAACTGTTCAAGAAGGAAGACAAAGTACTCTCTTTTTTATAGTGATTGAACAAAGAGTTGTTGTGAGTCCACGGTTTTGCTTATCCTCGTTTCTTTTGCTCATAGTATTTCGGGTGCTCGGTATTTAATACTTTGATCAGCCCTTATTTAAACGATAAAAAATGTATTTCTGTTTAAATATTTTCGTCTTTATTCATTTTCATCGGCCGAATCCTTATTTCAAGGTTTTTCAAAATTTCTAATCATATCCCAAGTAGCTCTTAAGTAATTTTTCTCTTGTCATTTCGGTAGCAAAAGAAAGGAAATCATCTTCCTCAGAAATTTTGGTCCATGTTATTGTGTTCAAATGTTTTAATCCTAAGAGATCTTCCTCGTTTTATGTTCTTAGCTCTTCAAGTTCCCAAAATAACAATTAACGATGCCAACGTAGAGTTGCTAAAGATGACAAACGTTTCCGTTACCATTGGAGGTAAGGTAACTACGTTAGACAGAAACAAAGTGAGTATCGTCTGCCAGGTTACCGGAGTTCCAAGCCCAGAAATTACGTGGGAAAGAGACGAAGTTGAACTTCAAAAAGGGGGAGTGTTTTACACAATAGAGAGTGTTACTCCGAAGGATAGTGGACGATACACTTGTGTTGCCAAAAATGTCGGCGGCGAAGTCAAAGCGACGACACAACTTCAAGTACTTGGTACGTAGTTTAAACTGCTGCAACATTGAAACAGTTTGATACTTCTTTATTGTAACAAAGCTAATGACTTAAAACACCGTCGTCTTCATATTAGTGTTTGATCCTGTTAAAAGATAAAACCGTCGACATGAATGAACTTCTCAAAAGCCCGCATATAAATTGCCGTGCAATTGGATATCATCTAAAGTCTTCGAATTTTATATTGGAGTTTCAATTTATCAAGATTATGAAAAATTTGAAATTAAGATTTAACTAATTTGAAGGCCACAGTTTTTCGCTGGAGGATAAACCGTGACGTGAAAAGTTCGAGTCCCAGTTATTCAAAGGCCGATTATCGTTAACCCAGGGTTGAATTTTAATCCGGTTTTCTTTGTTCCTTTGTTCATACACCTTCCGCTGATAATTTTCTCTATTCTTTTTAGAGCATCCAATCACCAAATTGTAGACTAAATAAAATTGTACTGAACTCTTTAAAAGCTTACAGATCTGACATCAGATTTCACGCTAAATCTGGGTCATCTTAACCCAGATTTGAACAAGCCAGCAGGGCATAGCTCTGTTTTAAGGGTTCCAAACGACCTCCAAAAGGCCTAGCTGATGAAAGTGTCATTACAATACAATACAGTCAATTTCGTTAGAGCGGTTGAATACCTGTATCACATAGTAAGTAGTTATTTTCACTAATCTCATAGCTGGAAAGGCTCCTACAATTGACTCCTTGAATAGAAGTCTGGTCCATCTGAGAATCGATTTCTACGCAATAACCATTGGAACTAACCTTACTACCCTGGCGAGCTCAGGTCTAGAAATCATTTGTCCCGCCAGTGGATTTCCTAAGCCTTCCATTCAGTGGTTCAGAGAGGGTGACCCTGTAGAACCTGGAATGATGCTTAACGTGGACGAAGAAACAGGAACACTATTTACACTCAGCATATCACATCGGAAGGGAGGAAGATTCTCTTGCAAAGCCAGTAATGCATTAGGATCAGTGTACGCTTCGTCTTTCATCGCTGTTCTCGGTATGAGTGTACTATTTGTAACGTGAGTGACTTTAGACTAGCGATAAACTGATTTCATTCATGCCTGTAAAAAGCCTCCGTAGATATATCGACTCCTGTTTAATGTCTTTTCTTCAATCAAGATCAGAGCCTGCATACGTTGAATCAAAAGAGGCTGTTTTAATTTCTTCGCAAGGTGATTGGATGAACCCTTCCCCAACCAACTATCGAATTAAATCCCTTTAAATGCGTTTCCTGCCCATTATGAAATGTGACTGATAACACTAATTAGTACTTCTTTTTTCTGATATTGAAGTTCCTGGAGCTCCTCAGATTAATGTTTCCCGTGTGCCGGTACAATCTCTGGACAGTCGAGATCCTGCTTTTATCACCATTGGTCAAACACTTTCTGTTCTGAACGGAACAAATTTGTCCATTGCATGCCCTGTTAGTGGTATACCTGAGCCAGTCGTTACCTGGAGTCGACAAAATAAAGACTTGGACACGAATGGGCGAGTTGTTATCAAGGACTCGGTTCTAACTATCTTACGTGTGACAAATACTGATACCGGCATTTACCTTTGCAAAGCGGTCAATCTTGCTGGAGATGTTACCGCCAACTCCAATGTGACTGTACTTGGTAGGTCATTCTCAAAGTTCAATAATCACCGTACCACCCGTCAGCTAATCAAAATTATATCCTGCGCCTGTGATTTTCTAACGCATTCTTGACCATGTTCTTTGTAAACAAATGTTGTTTGCTTTGTGTCGTAAATGTTCCTTTGCATTGTGTTCTTTTACTATGGATAATACGACAACATTTTTTCATAAAACTCATTTTAAAAGATCCTTGATTTTTTTCAGGGTAATGACTAACTGAATGTGTGAATATTTTCCATTTAGCTGAATAGACGGTACCTAGTCAAAAACCAAGCTTTATTCATTTTGAGTAAATTCCGATATTGCCAATGAATTCATATTCGCCGACAATACTTTCAGAAACCTCCGCACCATTGATCTCAAGAGTTAGCCAGCCTTTACAGATCCTTAACAGTGGTTCATTCACGGTAGACGTTGGTTCGATTGTGACGACGGTGGCTGGTAACGGGTTATTCTTAAGGTGTAATACTAAAGGAGTACCCACCCCCAAAATTATCTGGAGTAAGGACAGCATCCCATTAAATGTTGAAGGCTCATTGTATATATTAAAGTCACTTAGTGCTTCGGATTCCGGATCATACCAATGCGTTGCCTCCAACATCGATGGAGCTGATAAAGAGGACATACAGATTGTTGTCTTAGGTAAATAAACTTTGCCTTTCTATCGTCCCCTGGCCCGGCTGAGGGACCAACCATACTGGCATACTCTAATTTCCAGGAATAATCTTTGATAGAGATGTCACGCTGTCCTTCCAGTCGAAAAGAAACAGTAGATTATGTCCTACTCACTACTTGATCGTTCAATTGCAGCTGTGAAGGACCGTTAATAATGTTGATGTTCGCTTACTTGAAGACTAAATATTTAGTTAATAATTAATCCGCTGGTTGAACAATTGACCTGTTTATTTTATCTTTGTATTTACTGGTTTATACTGCTGCTTTTGATATGCAATACATACACATACTGTTATCGCTCTACGAATGGGAAGTCATAGAGAAGAACCAATAAAACCAACCTCACTCAAAAGAAAGTATGAACCAGCTTGATTGATCCATGATGCAATTCCTCTCATATACTAAGCTTTTAATGAGATTGGCTACGATTTTTAGCTACTGTATGATACCTTACTAGGGCAATGCTTTTACTTTTAATTCTTTTTTATTGCTAATGCTACTTTTTATTCTTTGAAAAGATGGCAATGCACCTAAAATCACAAGCTCAGGGGAAAATATTATAGCAATAAGCGGTGAAAAGCAACTACAGATTACGATTGGTGATAACTTAACCACTGTCATCGGAACAGACATAGATATCTTATGTCCAGTCGTGGCCTTGCCTAATCCAACAATCACGTGGTTGTTCAATGGTTCGGCGATCAAAGAGGGAAATCCACGTCTCGTAAAGGTCGCGAAAACGGTATTGAATCTTGCTGGTGTCACACCGGAGGATATTGGCTCTTACACATGCCATGCCAATAACACTTTTGGGAAGGACATAAAGACTACGTTTTTGTCTCTGATCAGTGAGTACTTGAAACTTTGCTAATTTGTCCCCTGTCGCCTATCTTTTATCACTGACTTACAGTCCGACTGAATTCTACTGTTGAGAGGCAACTAAAATTTTCCCAAATGGCGTTATAAAGCGTTTGTAGAGGTCAAAAATTTTCTTTTAGATATTGACTAAATCCAAGTTACTATCAAACCGGATGCATAGTGCTGTATCAATTGTTGAACACTTAAAATAACACTGGTTTATGATCGTTTGCGGGAGACTTCGTAGCACAGTAGTGAGCGCGCTGGATTCCGGATCGAGAGGTCCAAGTTGGAACGAAGACCTGATCACTGTGCTGTGTTCTTAATACAGGAGTGGGCCTTTTGGGTAGTAAGCTGATGTTACCCTACCGAGCAGTTACTTAGTAATATTCTTAATGATTACCTTAGCTGTATTGACAGTATAGATTGGTGGTCACGATCAATAGTCGAGCTACTCTTTTAACCTTAGTTCCAGTGGAACCGAAGATCATGTCTTCAAATAAAGACCTCAGGGACTTCAAATCTGTGAGTCACCGGCTTGTTATTGGTGATGATCTGGACGCTGTCGAGGGTTCTACAGTATACATAAGCTGTCCAACTACAGGAAATCCTGTCCCTGAAATACATTGGAAGACACCTGGTGTTTTGATCTCCAGCAGCGAAAGGTTACGGATTTTGAACAATACACTTGGAATTTTGGATGGTACCTGGTCTGACTCTGGCATCTACTCATGCATAGCCACCAACGGTGCCGGATCTGATGAGATGGCAACTCGGGTTAATTTTATGGGTACGCAACTAAACTAAAATTCCAGATGAGCCTGTTTTCTCTCTAAGATCCTAAAAAAATGCAAAACTTGTCCTGCCTTTCCTACCAGGCCTTCTTCCCTTCCCAAGGACAAAAGTAATACTCAAAACTCTGGTGTTGGTGTATTTGTATTATGTCGCGATCTGAGAGAACGACTCAGTCGGGCAACCGAATGCGAAGTCATTTTAACTTTTTAAAGGGCCATATTGTGGTAAATGGGTCTTTCTTACTATCCTATAACGCACTGACTTCACTGTACAACAACATTTAGTCATTCAAGCTGGATACTCATCTCCCGGGCTTCATTTTAGACTGATAGAAATTGTCTGAAATTGAATTAAGACATTCTTCTCGGTGGAAAAATATTTCTGCGTAACGTTCTCTTCCTTTTAAGAAACACAAGCATGAAAGCAGTCGAGTGTCTTTCTTATTTTTTAACTTCCACATTTGGTTGATCACCTATCTTTACCATTTATTAGCACCCAAGAAGCCTTCCATTAGAGGCGATCCCATTGATATCGAGTCTTTTGATCGGCAACCTGTAACAGTGGCAGTTGGTGGTACTGTAAAGGTTTTGGAGAAGACAACTGTGAACATCCAGTGCGTGGCTTCGGGGATTCCTGAACCTTCTGTCTCTTGGAATAGCAGCAGTAATGATATGCAACCAGCTAACAAATTTGATGTGAATCAAGGTGGACAATTGTTGACGATTCGTGATGTTGACCCGACAGACTCTGGGACGTACTTGTGCAGTGCTGTGAATAAAGCTGGCGAGGACTCTCGTGCGGCTGTGTTAGAAGTTATTGGTGAGTGAAAACATTTCTTGGATCTTCTCGTTACAAGAGGTCAGTCTTGTGATGGAAAAAATGTTATATTCGGTGCTTAAAGCTGGACTCACTGGTTGGAGGCAAAGGCGGAAAAAACAAACCGACCCTCTACGTACAGTACATTCAAGCCTTAGTCTCAGTGTTCAATAGATATCATTACTCTAGCGAGAATCTAAGCCCTTTCAAGTTGAAATAAATGCACTATCAATTTTGTTGGAAACTGAAATTCAAAATATGTTACATAGTGATGATATGAACAGGACCAATTTAGTGTTACCAAGGCAATATTTCATTTCTTTTTTCAGAACCCTCTCTTCCAAAGATAGCGACATCCGACACTTCTGTTTCATGGTATAACAGAAAGCACAGAATACTTCCCGTTGGGGGAAGAGTTGAAGTGCTCTCTGGAACGAAAGTGACCTTGACTTGTGAATACTCGGCTTTTCCGGAAGCGAATGTCAAGTGGATTGTTTTAGATGTAGAAGGTGATCCTTTACCAGACGTTGGATATGAGGTCATTAACGGTTCACTTCTACTGATGGCGTTACGGCCATCTGATTCAGCTCAGTATGTTTGCTCTGTGGAAAACGTAGCGGGAACGGCATCCGCATCTACAATACTTAAAGTCGTTGGTAAGTTTTATTTTTTCTTGGAAGTAGGTATTTCGTTTCTAACCAGTGCCATAAATTTCCTTTTCATGACATTTTTTTCTTAGATGTTGTAGGGGCGTTGATTGTGAACACATGCAACTTTTCCCATTTTTGTGTGTTAAGAGGTTCCTTAAGAACTGTTTGAATTTTATAGTAATCACGATTTTGATTAGGTCCCAACTAAATGAACTGGATAATTTGTTACCTTGTTGCCGTCTTACTCAGATCCTCAGCCACCATCAATAAGCTCTTCCCAAGAAAGCATCATTTCTCTATCGGATCGTCTTCCTGTACAAGCTATCGCTGGTAATGTCGTCACCGTTCTGTCTGGCACGAGTATTACAGTCACTTGCTCTGCTGACGGGTTGCCCACTCCGTCATTAGCCTGGAGCAGAGAAGAGCAGCTGATTCCTACGACGCAATCTGGTATTCTCAGAGTTGAAAATTCCACTGCAGAAGATTCGGGAGATTATCTCTGTACTGCCATGAGTGAAGTTGGTGTCGATCAGGAGTCTACGAAAATCACAGTCATCGGTTAGTGTCTTCACCTAACCCTAACCCAGCCTATAGAATATATCACATAGATGATTGTAGTTTTTGTTCTCTCCCTCAATACTATCGTATACAGGCTTCCTATAGATATATATATATATATATA